AGATATCCTTCAATACGATAAAGATAAAAATTTATGAAATCACACGCATGCATGTGTGCTGTAATCCGATTGGCTGAAACTTCAAATGGCTATAACTCCCTTGTTTTTCAACCAAACAGGATTTGATTTAGAACATTGATAAATATAAGGGACTCCTACAAGACGGTGTAGTCATTATGCACGTGCTTGCGCGTGCGTGCACGTGAAATGAGAAAAATTATAAATACTCTAGAATGAGTGTATTTTTTAATACTTTTGGATTAAATGCTTTCATTTTAAGTATATTAAAATTTGAGATAGTGTAGACAAGATAATATGGTCGTTACGCGTGCAATGCCTATTTTTAAATATATTTTTATTTTTCTGGGAAGACCTTGATTAAGTCTAAATTCCATAAAGTATTTCTTATCTAATAGAGATTACAGGGAATAGCACCAAAAGGGACTTGGGGAGCGTTTGGGGAACATCTGTAACGGTCCCCGTTACAATTAGCACTAGTTATTATTATTATTATTTTTCTTCTTCCTGGGAAAATTTTGTCCACGAGTGATCTTGTAAACTACACATCTGACTAAGGTAAAATGTTTTTAGGGTCAGTAGACATGTTATGTAGATTTGCCGAACAAAGGTCATTTTGCGCGAACGTGCTTGCAAGAGCGCGCACGTGCAACACGTTAAAAGACCGATTTAATTGATATAGGCATAACTTTTTACATTTTTGATCAAATTCTTTGAAACTCATAATATAAGGATATATTAGTGGCAATGACAATATGATATGGTCAAAATAGCAAGATCTCACGCGCATGCACGTGCGCTTTGCTCTGATTGGCTGAAACTAAAGTCTCAATATCTTTCTTGTTTTTTGACGAAATCCTTTGAAATTTTGAACATAGCCATGCATTACGATATCCTACAACATGACATATAGCAATTATCATGAAAGCACGTGTATGCACGTGCGCTGCAATCTGATTGGCTGAAAATTTGCATAGCTATAACTCCCTTGGTTTTCAACCAAACAGGATGGGATTTGGAACATAGATATATATTATGGACTTCTACAAGAAAGTATGGTCACCATGCACATGCACATGCATACACATGCATACACGTGCATGTACATGCACTGCAATCTGATTGGCTAAAACTTTAAACAGCTATAACTCCCTTGGTTTTCAACCAAACAGGATGGGATTTGGAGCATAGATATATATAATGGACTTCTACAAGAAGGCATGGTCACCATGCACATGCATACATGTGCGTGTACGTGGGCTGCAATCTGATTGGCTGAAACTTTGAACAGCTATAACTCCCTTGGTTTTCAACCAAACGGGGTGAGATTTAGAACATAGATAGATGTAATTGACTTCTACAAGAAGGTATGGTCACCATGCTCATGTATGCGTGCACGTGAAATGGGTAAAATAAAAAATACACTTAAATGAGTGTTTTCTTTATACTTTTGGATTAAATACATTAATATTTAGCATATTAAAATATATAGATTGTGTAGGACAATATGGCATGGTCATTACGCATTCGCACGTGTGCAATGATAAAATTTGAATGAACATGGTACACTTTTAGGTAATCGTTGTTAAAGTCTCAAATGCATAGAGTTTGTCTTATTTAATTACGCTTACAGGGAATATGACTATAAAAGGGAGTTGGGGAGCGTTTGGGGAACATCTGTAACGGTCCCCGTTACAATTAGCACTAGTTATGTTCCCCAAACGGAGTTTGGGAACATATTGTTTTTACTCTGTTTCTTATTATTATTATTTTTTTTCTTATTTGTTCTCCGGTACTTTTTTTGTCCGCGAGTGTTCTCAGAAACTGTTCACCCAACTGAGCTAAAACCTTTTTAGGGTTAATAGGTGTATAGTGTAGGTGTGCGGAACGAAGGTCATTTTGCGCGCATACGCCTGCACGTGCGTGCGCGTGAAATGAGTGAATTGACTGAAATACTTAATATAGCTATAACTTTTACATTTTTTTATGAAATGCTTTGAGACTCATTACATAAGGATATATTAAAAGTGTTGATAATATAACACTGTTAAATTAGCATGAACTCACGCGCATGCACGTGCGCCTTGCTCTGATTGGCTGAAACAAAAATCTCAATATCTCTTTTGTTTTTCAACGAAATACTTTGAAATTTTTAACATTGTCATGAATTAGGATATCCTACAATATAGTATGAAAAAATTTCATGAAATAACGTGCATGCACGTGCGCTGCAATCTGATTGGCTGAAACTTTAAATGGCTATATCTCCTTTATTTTTTGACGAAATGCTTTGAAATTTAAAACATAGTCATGTATTAGGATGTCCTGCAATATGATATAAAAAAAAATCAAGAAATTACGCGCATGCACGTGTGCTGCGATCTGATTGGCTGAAACTTGAAATGACTATATCTCCTTTGTTTTTTGACGAAATGCTTTGAAATTTAAAATATAATCATTCTTTAGGATATTCTACGATGCGATATAGAAAAAAAATCATGAAATCACGCGCATGCACGAGTGCTGCAATCTGATTGGCTGAAACTTGAAATGGCTATAACTCCCTTGTTTTTCAACCAAACAGGATGGGATTTAGGACATAGATAAATATAAGGGACTCCTACATGAAGGTTTGGTTTCATGCACGTGCGTGCATTTGGAACGAATGAAATTAGAAATACACTCGAATGAGTGATTTTTAATACTTTTGGACAGAATGCTTTCACATATAGTATATTACAGGGAATATGGCACTAAAAGGGAGTTGGGGAGCGTTTGGGGAACATCTGTAACGGTTCCCGTTACAATTATTAGCACTAGTTATTATTCTTTTTTTTCTTCTTTGTTCTCCGGTACTTTTTTGTCCGCGAGTGTTCTCAGAAACTGTTCACCCAACTGAGCTAAAACCTTTTTAGGGCTAATAGGTGTGTAGTGTAGGTGTGCAACACGAAGGTTATTTTGCGCGCATACGCATGCACGTGCGGGCGCGTGAAATGAGTGAAATGACGGATATACTTTATATAGCCATAACTTTAACATTTTTTGATGAAATATTTTAAAACTCTTTTAATAAGGATATATTAATAGTGTAGATAATGTGACACTGTCAAATTAGCACGAACTCACGCGCATGCACGTGCGCTTCGCTTTGATTGGCTGCAACAAAAATCTCAATATCTTTTCTGTTTTTTGACGAAATGCTATGAAATTTAAAATATAGGCATACTTTAGGATGTACTACAATATGATATATAACAATTGTCATGTAAACACGCGCATGCACGTGCGCTGCAATCTGATTGGCTTAAACTTTAAATGGCTATAACTCCCTTGTTTTTCAACGAAACAGTATGGGATTTAGAATATAGACAAACATAATGGACTCCCACAAGGAGGTATGGTCGTCATGCACATGCATGCACGTGCATGCAAGTGTGCTTTGCTCTGATTCGCTGAAACAAAAATCGCAATATCTTTTTTTAATTTTTGACGAAATGCTTTAAAATTTTAAACATAATCATGCATTAGGATGTCCTACAATATGATATATAACAGTTGTCGTGTAAACATGCGCATACACGTGCGCTGCAATCTGATTGGCTTAAACTTAAAATGGCTATAACTTCCTCGTTTTTCAACCAAATAGGATGGGATTTAGAACATAGACAAACATAACAGACTCCTACAAGAAGATACAGTCGACATGCACATGCATGCACGTGCGTGCACGTGAAATGAGTAAAATTACAAATACACTATATTAAAACGTATTTTATAATACTTTTTGGATAAAACGCTGTAATTTCTAGTATATAAATAGTGTTGACAAGATGATATGGTCATTACGCATATGCATTCAAATGCGCATGCGTGCAATGCATAAATTTAAATATACTGAATATACTTCTGGGAAAACATTGTTATAGTCTAAAAGGCATAGAGTTCGTCTTATTTAATGAAGCTTACAGGGACTTAAGGCACCAAAAGGGATTTGGGGAGCGTTTGGGGAACATCTGTAACGGTTCCCGTTACAATTAGCCCTAGTTAAATGTATTGCATTTACAGCATGTATTTTCCCAAATAATTCGATAAGCAAGAGCATGCCCAATGTACCAACTATTTTTAAAAGATGGAAGCTATTAACAAACAAGTTGATATCTATGGTTGATGACATCGTAAGCAAATATGCCAAGTGACGTTTTTCATATAAAATGTTAGGGCCTATGTCCTATTTTTTTAACATAAGCGTACTTAAAAATTAATGAAGTAACATGTAATTGTCAAGTATTAATGAAGTTTTCTATGCAAGGGATTGCTAGATCTTGGCGTTTCTCGTTTTTATTTTGAAAAATGAAAATAACAACTTGGGTCATGTTTAAATGAGTAAAATGAATAATTTTTACCGCGTAGTTTTTAATTTTTTATTCAAAATTTCACAGAAATGGGATTTGAAGTGAAAAATATTTGTATAGATTAAAAAGGATGGTCTCAGAGGGGTAGACTTTTGAACATCACAGAAGGTTTACAATTTCTTTATATTCTAAAATTTGTTATTTGGATCATTTGCACTGAAATTAGGCCAAAAAATATATACCGATCCAGGCATCCATTTTTTCTTTGTATCATCTGTCCTTAAAACTGAGATTTAAAATGTCTGTTTGATGTATTTAAAATAGGTCTATATGGCTTTAGTTTAATTGTGATTCTTACAGTTAAATAAGAATCTCTTCCGTCTGATGCATATAAAATTTCGTTGTAAAAGTCAACAAATTCAAAACAATCCAATCGCCGGAGTGGCGCAGTGGTAGAGCGCCTGCTCTAGAGTGACAGAGTAAGGAGTTGAGGTTCGAATCCCACTGTGGGACGTGGAGAAAGGTCATTCGGAAGAGACCGTAAAAAACGATTTCTCACGAAAAAGATCCCTCACTGCTTAATGGCCCTGAGTGCCGAGTATTCGGTCAAAAACAACAACAACAACAAAATCCCCACAAAACAATCTTTGTATTTGATTTTATGTTGGCCATTTTCTCGATGTGACATCTTGTGGTCTTTTACAACACTGAGATGGCAATACCTCCCAGTTGTAAATGTATGATTTTCGATATTCAATTTCCTTGGAACATAGCTGGTTCATTTTCTGTAAATTATTATCTAGTTCTCGCATTTGTAGGTGTGTCTGTTTATGCATTATCAAATTGCTGTTCTTACAACCACGTGACTTGTACTCTGTATCAAATCTAGTGTCATGTGACCGTTTGATATCAAGTGGACCAAGCCAGGCTCCCAATGAAACGTCCTCACTGTTAAAAAGTTTCAGATATTTGGAGTTGGAAGACACGTAATGAACAAGATCAGCAGATATAACATAGCCCCCGCCCAGGGCGTAAGGCAGGTACCTGTCACAGAGTATCCACTCTTTCTCGGCCCACTTCCCCGCCTTTTTCACGTGGGCCCTGCCGTCGAAAAATCCCCAGTAGAACCTCTCTCTGGGTTTCTTTTGAAGTTCATATGCCAGACGATCGACTCTCACAAACGAGTCTTCGTCTGCTTTTATTAGATGAGTAAATTCAACATGTCTGTCCAACCATTTGAAACTTTCTAAAAGTTTTAAGGTCAGGGTTTCATAGCTATCGTTGACGCTTTTTAGAAGCAGCAGGTCGGAATGAATGAAGTTTTCCCTGTGTGTATTGCTGTACTGTTGCGCTGAGAGAGACCCAGCACCAATCACAAACCTTAACAGCGTTGTCTTTGGTAGATTCCTCGCCCAAGTTTCGCGGATCGTGTCTCTTCCCATCAAGTTATCGGGGGCAGACATAACTAGTACAACTTGTGGAAAAGAAAGGTCACGTGATGGCGCTAGTATATGTCCGTCCCAGAACGCTTTATTTTGGGCATCCCTGAGATCGGAGCGCGATATTCCGTAAGTGGGATCGTCACATGGCATGCTGCAAAACGCCAAATAAAATAGCAGACTCATTGATAGAAATAGTCCACCAATGAGAATGGTCGTGGCGTGCTTATTCAGCCTTCGTTCTACAGAAAGTGACATTGTGTTTACTTATAAACTTATTATTTTTCAAACGCAACTTAGAATTATCCAGCACACTTGCATCCAACCCTGTTGGCTCTATGGAGCGTTTCCATCGTAATTTCTGCAAAAAAAGTAACACAATCCAAGTTGACCATTCTAGTGGTTTCATTAGTCCTAATTCATTTTTACAATTTCAAAGGTTTACAAGAGAGGCAGTATCACAAAACCTTGACACAAAGAAGATGCAAAGCATATGCATCTGAACGGGGGGGGGGGGAGCTCTTTGTCCCAATTTTTTGCAAAAATAGAATAAAACGTTTTAGAAAGTAACTGTTTTGTTTTTCTTTTAGCCCCCCTCCCCTACTTTCGATTTGCTTCCAACGCCTATAGGCTATACACAGGAACCTGAATAATGGATAAAGTGCACCCGTCCCCTTCTGAACTTGTCTTTTCTGGTCTATAAATTAGAAATAAACATGATAAATATCCTGATCTGTTATATTCCGATATCTGACGTATTTTTCCTCTTTTGTTTAACTTCAGAGATTGCCCTCTACGGCAAATAACAATACCTATACGATCCCCACTTCGAGAAAGATTTACAACCGATCTTTTAAAAGAACATTCAATAAACATTTCCTAGTAAAATCTGACCTAATTAAATGATATGTCTAGAAAAAGTTAAGTGGGGGCCAGCCTCCCCCTAGTTAGAATGATCTAACTGTGTCTCGGTACAAGCCCTCACCGGGTCCGTAGGACAATATCATTTTAACGATAGAACGTTCTATCTAGCCTCCCCCTCCCTCCGATGCTATGTGTCTGCACCTTCAAATGTGGGACATTTCCTAGCTGTAAACACACGTTCCAATTTAAAATATGTGTAAAGTTCTAGATTCAGTAACGCTTTTCCTCAAATATTGCCCAAACGGCATGCCATATGATATTCCATAGAAAGCATATATTTTTAAACCCTGCCCCTTTCTCTACAGCATTTTTATTATCATAATCGTAATATAACGTGAAAAAATAGATATAAATTATTCATGTTTTCTTACTTACATTGTTTACAATTTGTCACATGGCTACACATGGCTTGCAACTTTTATGTAGTCTTGCAAAAATAACTTATTTTTAAACGCTTTGATGATGGAGATCAACTTAGAAAACGGTCTCCGAAAATTCCGAACCTCGATGTACGTAGACACAGACGAGAACTTACCAATTATGATTTTATTCCTTTATTTAAAAAAATCAGAACCAACAAAAAGCATTTACATGTATATGCATGTAAATTATAGTTCTGATTTTATATTTCACTGATCGATAATTGTAATATGCATGGTGGGCATTTTTAGATTGAGCTCTATCACAGGTACCTGCATGCATTGTCGGATACCCACGGCTGATCTCATCTTTACTCATCACCGGGTGATAAGTAACTTAGACGAGATCCCCCGTGGGTTTCCGACGATGAGGCACGTACCTGACTTACTTATTTTTCTTTTTTTTTAAATAAAAAAACACACACCCTATACATAATAATACAGGTAAGGGGTATTTATTTTTATTAAAAGAAAAACAAGTAACGTCAGGTGCCTACATTGACCTTGATATATTACGAAAGCCTAAATTATATCAATCAATAGAGAGAAAAATCAAAAGGCTTTATAACCCCTGTCCAAAAGGCGTTATTACGCCTTTTCAACAGGTATAATAGACTTTCGTAATACTTCTTCTTCCAAAAAAAAGTCAGGAATAAATGGAAAAAAATTCTTTTTTTTTTTAAAATGTATATTTGTGAAAATTAGTAGTTCCCTGAAAAAAATTAATTTTACTATCAAGATTCAATGTTCTTCAGTCGTCACTCGGCGAAGAAATTATCAGCTTGATATATAATTTGGTGCGGCGGGGAAGGGAGGCGGTGGGGCCACTCGGAGCTCCTCGGGTGGCTCGTACCTTGCAGCATTAGTCAGTCGAGGATTGCCGATTGCGGTGGGACAGGGACTGGCTATCTAGGATTCAAAACTGACTCGGTGTTAGCTTGAGCACTTGTTGAATTATTTCTAAGCAACCGGGCGTGATGGTTATACAATATCAAGGTTACTGTCATAGGATACCCCCCCCCCCCCCCGAAAAAAAAGAAATCAGGAATTTTAAACAGACCCTGATTAAGTTCATCAAAAATAAACAAATTGTTAGCTTATTAAACCCATATTTAGTTATCTGGGGTCATTTTCCTTTTTGTATATTTTTAGAGATAGGCCCTTTTATTACGGGCATTTAATATAATTATAATTTTTTTTTAAAATCACATCACAAATACATGTATACTCTATGACAGTGTTATTTATCATGCAGAGCACCATGCATTCGCTAGGTTTGAGTACAGACTGCAATTTGCATATATTAAAATATAATGAGGGATTCAATATCTGCTCTTCAGTATTAAGAAAATGAGGAAAGTTCCGGTGAAAATCAAAGGAGGAACGACGCATTAGAGTTACATAAAGTCATCATCACCTAGACGCTTGCCGGAAACAAGAGGACAAGTTGGCGATACTGTCATATTTTTTGACAGCCTGTTCTTGTCGCATGGGAGGATCCTTCTGGTAAATTAAACAGAGAATTATTTATTTTGATGTGTAAAGCCTCCAAAGCATTTATGATGTCAGGATTATTCCCACTTTTCATAGATTAATCTCCCTTATGCAAGGGCAGTCAATACACAGAAGTAAAAAAAAAAAAACCTTAACGTTAACTGCAAGCTGTTTACTAGTGATTTTAATTGTTAGCGCTATAAATGAAAGAGATATAACATTACTTTTGCTTTTTATTGTAAAAGCTATGTATCAATCTTATTAAATGTATTCACAAAATTAGAAGAAAAAAAACCTAATTACTAATTAGCAACCATTTTTCCCAGTTCATAAACACGCGTGGGTGTCTTAGGCGTTTGGTAGTTAGAATAATCTAACTGTGTATCAGGACAAGCCCTCACCACAGTTAGAATACCTCTCATATATTTGCAATGTAGCAAATCAGAGCGGATCTGCTCCAAAATGAATTCAAAGATTAGAATACAAAAGGGGTTGCACTTAAAATAACTACTACATTAATCATAACAGACCTTTTTGAGATTGCATATGCCTTTCCCCCCAAAAAATAATCCAAATGAAGACAAAAATCTATTTATTTTCACAATGTTTTTTTCTAGCTTCAAATTTATAGGCCTTGTTTACATTCAGAACTCCTTGGATTGTTCATAGTAAATGCACTGAGTATGAGTTATCGCCTGTGTTTCTTGCAACGTAACAAATACACGGAACAAATTCTATTATTAAACCAGATCCGTAGGACAATATCATTTTAACGACAGAACATTCTATCTAAGGTGTTTGGTAACAAAAATGAATGAATAATGCCCATTGGTTGCCTGCCAATATGAACTTGTCATGTAAAACTTGCAGTAAATCAAAATCTTCCTTGATACTTATCATTGAAATTGAAAGCAATGGAAGTGATGACTTTTAACAATGTAAGAGTAGTGGCGTCCCAGAATTGCACAGTAGATCTAGAGAAGCCAGAAACCATGACAAACTTGATCTCTCAAGAATTTCTGAGTAAGACCGGAATGCCTCTACATTTTCAATTATATCATTTAAAAATTGTCACTTCCGTTCAGCGTTGCTTTCAGTTTCAATGCTACAATATGTAGATATTGAGGAAGATTTAGATTTGCTGCATGTTTTATATAGCATTTTCATATTGGCAGACGATTTTAAAAATAGAACATGAATTTGAATTTTTCTTTTTCTACTTCCACAGCAAAAAAATCCCTTAAACTTTTTGTAAATAGCCCTGCTGGGCATGAAATTGACAGAGTAGAAAAAATTTTGTTTGTTTTGTCATTTTGGGTTTGTGCTTTATGGATGACTTTTTCATGCAGTTTTGTTGTGGAATTAGTAGAAGAATAGGTTAGAAACACACTTTTAGTAATATTTTGAAATATGCTGACTAATGAGGAATACTAGTAACTCAAGAAACAGCACACTTTTCCACTGTATTTAAAGTAAAGTTATGTCTGCATGTGAGTGAAAAGAAAAAAATTCCAGAAATTTGAGAGAAAGACATGCAAAATCCTACTCCACAAACTTTTTATTAATAGCAAGTTAAAGTGAAATAAAAATTCTTTCTAGGGCCTTAACAAGCTTTGTTTAATATTTGTAGAATCACAATGAGCACTAAACGTGTGAACACAACAGCAACTGCTCGCCTGAAGCAGGATTACATGAGGATAATGAAGGATCCTGTACCCTACGTCAGAGCACTGCCCCTCCCTTCCAATATACTGGAGTGGTAGGTATCACAAAGGCTTGATTAATCCAAATCAAACATGTTTAAAGCAATATGAGCTGCAACTTTGATGTCAGAAATTTTTGTTGAAAAATTGTAATGAACTATTTTAATAATAGAAAATAAGAACATTTATAAACATCTGTCATTCATATTTGCGATGGAAGAACTATTTATGTACTTCGATCGAAGCAAAATTACATTATTGTCGTCCTGTATTTCTTATACATATTCCATTGCACAGTCATATAAAAAAGCGTTTTAATGACCCTATAAAATCAGTTCATCTAACGATCTGTATGTAATTAGTTTGAAAGTTTGTTGTACACATTATCTAAAGTTCCTTAGAATAATATAACTGTTTTCAAATATATGATATTTTCTCCTTCTTGTGTCTAATTCATCATAAAGGTTTATATATAATATTCAAATTTATAATAACAGCACATTTTAACAGCAAAATAAAATTCTCGCTATATAAACTGCAGCTCATATTGTATGGGTTATATTTGACAGGAAGCATAATAATTAATGATAGTCTAATTCATCATAAAGGTTTAAATAATATTCAAATTTATCTTAACAGCACATTTTAACAGCAAAATAAAATTCTCAAAACTGCAGCTCTTATTGCTTTAAATGAAGATTATGTGTGTGTATGTCCTAAATAAGTTGTTAAGTACATGTATATTGTGAATAAGACTAATATCCATCCCTATAAAATAAGACTATATCCTACTTTTTTGAAAAGGAGGATGATACTTTACTTCTTTTGAAAAAAATTATTAACATTATTACTTTTAGTAGTTTTATCTTTAAGAATTAAACATGCACTGTACATTAAGTTTATCATCACTTATAAAATGTCAATAATTATGCTATTTGATTCAAATCGAGGATAAAGCAAAAGATAAAATAAAATATATTGTTGATAAATGCAAATGAATTCATATTTGATATACATAATTTGTCTTTTTTAATTAAAAATAATTGTGTACTTGCATTTTGTTTTAGGCACTATATAGTTACAGGACCAGAAAAATCTCCCTATGAAGGTAAGGTTTATTTTATTAAGAGAATGTGCATTGTCAAAACCCAAGGGTTTTCTCTCCATTTCACTGAGTTACACTGTTAAATGCAGTGTAACGGAGAGAAAACCCATGGGTTCTGATAATGGAGAATGTGGTTCAATTCAAATATTATATCCCGAATAATCTGCTTTCATCATGGATGCTTAAAAATGCAATTTTACTATTCAATGTTTGTGTTGTTTGAAATATCAGTTTTTTAAATTTGAAAGTACAAATGGTAATACATATACAATGTAGATGAAAATATAGTCAATATATGGTTTTAGGGAAAGAGTCCCTAAAACCAAAATACCTGATATATGTGGTGGCTTCTTTCTTACTAAAGCTTCCATGAAAACAACTGCTAGTCATGTATTTTACAGGTGGAATATACCATGGGAAGCTCATATTTCCACGAGAATTTCCATTCAAACCACCCAGTATATACATGATTACTCCAAATGGAAGGTTCAAGTGCAACACAAGGTACAACTTCAAATGATACAGGATATTGGTTGCCCTCAAAGATTTACAAATATTTGTCTTTGTTCAACTACATTGTCTGATGGTACCTCTCCTAAATTTAAATGTTAATCACATAATATTGAAAAACTATCATGTCAATTTTATGAAACTACGTCTTTCACTTGAAAAAGGGCTATAAAGTGATGGAGGTGACCTTTTATCATCTTTATATACATTTTGTGTGTGTTAATTTCAGACTGTGTCTGTCTATGTAATTATTATCTTGTTAATTTCAGACTGTGTCTGTCTATGTAATTATTATCTTGTTAATTTCAGACTGTGTCTGTCTATGTAATTATTATCTTGTTAATTTTAGACTGTGTCTGTCTATCAGTGATTTCCACCCTGACACATTTATATTGTTAATTTCAGGACTGTGTCATGGTCAGTCATTACAGTACCTCACAGAAATTTATATATAAACCTTTAAGGCATTAATTTCAGACTGTGTCTGTCGTTATAAAGTTATGTAATTATTATCTTCATTAATTTGACAGCATGATCAATGTGAACATGGATAACACCTTACAGCCTATAAATGAATTAGGTTTAAATATTGTTAATTTCAGACAACTGCGTCTGTATATTGGACAAAGAACTATAAAGTTTATAATTTATTAATGCTTGTTAATTTTAGACTGTGTCTGTCTATCAGAAATATGACTTCTCACCCAGAATGGGAATAAAATATTCTTAAATGGGAGAAATACGTAGGGAATTATTTATTTAATATAAATTTATAAAAGTACCCGGCAATACAATTATAGTCAGGTATGTGTCCACCATACTGCTAATTCAATATAAATAGTAAAAAGTAATAATAAAATATGACAAAATTCTCAGCAAAAATTAATTAATGAATTATGTGATGACATTACAGTACCTCACAGAAATTTATATATAAACCTTTAAGGCATGTGCAATTACAAAAACCTGCTACTAGCCCAGAGTAGCCCAGGGGCTAGTGACCGTTATAAAGTTACTGGCTTAGATTATCAGTCATTCATTAACCATTTTGACAGCATGATCAATGTTTCATGAACATGGAGAACACCTTACAGCCTATAAATGAATTTAGGTTTAAATAAATATGCAAGACAATGGTTGCTTTTATATTTTATTACTATACATGTAAGTCAATATTTTGGCAGTTTCTGGCCCATTTCGCCCTTACTAACCCCTTTAGTGTTACCAGTTACATGTCATCACTGAATGGACTTAAAAAAATAACAATTAATACATGTGTATGTTTTAACAGACTGGGGATTTTGATTAGCAACAAAATGAATACTTATGGGTGTATTCTTCCAACAGTACACATATATTGATTCTTGTGCATTTACTGTGCAGGCTAAGGCAGCATTGATGTACAAGTATTTTATAATGTCTGATAACTGATGATAAATGAAAGTCTTGAAATATAAGCAATATTTGGATGAGGGTAAGAAAAATGTGATTTAGAGCAAGGCTGGCCAATGCAAGGAAAGGTTACAAAAGTTTATAAGGTGTTTCAGACTTCAAGAACTGAAAGTTCAATTCAGTATTCATGTATTATTTTAGTTATTACAATGTTATATTGCATCAACTTCTGTTTTTATAGCTGGAGAAGGATCCAACGCTAGGGAGTATAGAAACATCAGACTACACTGTAAGTAACAAAGATGAAAATCTCTGGCATCTTATTAAATGCTTTTAACTATACAAGTAGTTAAAAAAGTGAATTATAAATATTAACATTTTTTGCCAGCATTCAGTTGAAAATGATTTGAATTGCTATGGAAAGGAAATAGGAATGAAGATCATGTTAATATGGAGTATGATGGCCATATTTATTCATCTAGATGAATTTATGAGATATCAATGTTGAAATTCTATTTTTACATTTTTTTGTGTGTTTGAAATATACACAGAAATATAATAGCTAAATAATAGCTAAAGTACCTGCTTGTATTTGTAGAAGAGACAGCTAGCTGCCCAGAGTGGTTCTTTCAATCTCTCAGACAAGGTCTTCTGTGATCTCTTTCCTGATGTTGCAGAGGTATTTTTCAGTTGTTCTAAAACTTTTAAAGCCACAGTAATTCTGTATATGATTTAGAAATCTTACTGTACACTTTATAAATGAGTGACTTTTTATATGAGTAAATTTTTGCTTTCCCAGGAAATTAAGGAAGAACAGCAAAGAAGAGCAGAAGAATTAAGACAGTCAACCAACCGTGGAGCAATAGGTCAAAGGTCACATTCAAATGATGGACCAAACCCAGCAGACCATGAAAACCAGGGACTGTTTGGGAGTGCACTGGCAAATATCTTTGTGATTGTAGGACTTGCAGCTTTTGCATACACTGTAAAATATGTTCTTAAAAGCATTGTTGAGTAGGGGAGGTGATAATTTCTGACCTAGACTATGAATGGTTGTACTGGAATGTCTTTCATTAAGTCTTCTTTTTAAGAGGTACTGTTTATCATCACAATAAGGAACCCGATTGGGCCTTGTTTTGTTAAAATTCACATACTAAATGAGAGCTTTCTTCCTAGGATTTAGTGTAGATACTTGGAATGAGCTCTCAGTGTCATTTAGAATATTCATACATTAAGTGTTGGGAAAGTAAATCAGATAAAAAGAAAATTAGATATTATCTGATTGGTCATTGCAAATACTTCATGAAGAATCTCTACATAAATGTTTGTGAGGTTGTAAAAATTTTTGGAGCTAATACTTTCGATACCAGAGGCCATATTTCTTGTATTTACCTGGAAATTTTTTTTCAATCATTTCAGGTGGAAAAAATAAGTATCAAGAAATGTAAATAAGGAATTTTTTTCAATAAAACTTGATGATACATGTATATGAAATTGAAATTAAGGAAATTAAAAGAAAGAGAAAAATTCCGTATGTATGAATTGAATTTAATATTATTTTCTGGAGGTTAAGAAAATGTTTGATTTGTGGTTGGGAGGGGGCAAACACATAAGTAGAAATTTATTTAGAGACGGCCTGATCTAATAATAACTTTGGAGTAATCTAATAATGACTTGGGAAAGACTTGACACATTTTAATTTTTTTATGTTAAATAAAGTGTTAAGTAGAATGGATAAGATAAGAACTCTATGATTGATGCTGTTTTGTTTTGTTACATGTGACATTAAATAGTAACATAGTGTTTACCAGGCATGTTTCAACTTTTAATGTCATTAAAAATACATTTTGAAATTCGTTGTTCATTTTATACGAAATATAATTCTATAACTTAAAGAATCTTTCATAAAAGACTGATTAGAACACAAAAATGATTTTATTGTGGTTATTATTTTTTTTTTAATATAAAAATGGATTAAAATAATACCTATAAAACAGAGGGGTTATATATTGTATTAAAATGTTTAATTTTGTATATGAACTGAATGCTGCAGGAGACTAATTTTATGTTGAAAAGTGTTTTTAAAAAGAATACAACACCTGTGTATGTAAGCATTTTATTTAGTTTTTGAATAATGACATAAACTTACTACATGTATATTTGTATGCATTCTATGTAGATTCTTATTTCCTTGTTTTTAATACACATACATCTGTATAAAGTTGATGATAAATTTTAGAAATATGTGTTATATCTTTGTTTTTTTCTCATGTTTAATACTATTATGTTTTTAGCTCACCTGAGCCGAAGGCTCAAGTGAGCTTTTCTGATCACATTTTGTCCAGCGTCCGTCTGTCCGTCTGTCTGTCTAGCTGTCCGTCTGTCTGTAAACTTTTCACATTTTCGACTTCGTATGAACCGCTCTATTTCAACCAAACTTGCCACAAAGTATCCTTGGGTAAAGGGGAAAGTTTGTTCAAATGAAGGGCCACGCTCTCATTCAAGGGGAGTATTGGGAATAAATTGAAAATTTGGTAAAATTTTAAAAATCTTCTTCTCAAGAACCACTGGGCCAGGAAAGATGAAACTCATGTGGAATCATCCTCAGGTAGTGTACATTCAAATTTGTTCAAGTCATGACCCCCGGGGGTAGGGCGGGGCCAAAATGGCCGATCAAAGTTTTACATAGGAATATATAGGTAATATCTTTAAAAATCTTCTTCTCAAGAACCACTGGGACAGGAAAGATGAAACTCATGTGGAATCATTCAGGTAGTGTTATTCAAGTTTGTACAATATATATTTGGGGCCAAAATGGCCATAATTTTACATAGGAATATATAGGAAAAATCTTAAAAATCTTCTTCTCGAGAACCACTGGGACAGGAAAGATATATCGTGTAAAATCATCCTCAGGTAAAGATTTCAAGTTTGTTAAATTCATGACCCCCGGGGGTAGGGTGGGGAAAATGGCCCATCAAAGTTTTACATAGGAATATATAGGAAAAATCTTTAAAAATCTTCTTCTCAAGAACCACTGGGACAGGAAAGTTGAAACGCATGTTGAATCATCCTCAGGTAGTGCATCGTCGGAAACCCACGGCTGATTACGCTTCGTTCCTCTCTCCATCATGTGGAATCATCCTCAGGTAGTGTAGATTAAAGTTTTTTTTTTTTATTTATACAAAATTTTATTCACAAAAGTGAATGGGATTGGGCAGCAGGCAAAGCCTATTTTAGCCCTCTCCCTAGATTAAAGTTTGTTCAAGTCATGACCCCGGGGGGTAGGGCGGGGCCAAAATGGCCAATCAAAATTTACATAGGAATATATAGGAAAAATCTTTAAAATTCTTCTTCTCAAGAACCACTGGGCCAGGAAAGATGAAACTCATGTGGAATCATCCTCAGGTAATGTAGATTTAAGTTTGTTAAAGTCGTGACCCCCGGGGGTAGGGCGGGGCCAAAATGGCCGATCAAAGTTTTACATAGGAATATATAGGAAAAATCTTAAAAAATCTTCTTCTCAAGAACCATTGAAACAGGAAAGATGAAACTCATGTGAAATTATCCTCAGGTAGTGTAGATTCAAGTTTGTTCAAGTCATGACCACGGGGTAAGGGTGTGGCCAAAATGGCCGACCGAAGTTTTACATAGAAATATATAGGGAATCCTTTTTAAATCTTCTTTTCAAGTACTTCAAAGCCAGGATTAGTTATATTTGTATGGAATCATCCTCAGGTAATATAGATTCTAGTTCGTTCAAATTATGATCCCTTTGGGGTTAAAATTCAAGCCCCCCCCCCAACTTAAGTTAAATTTTAGGTCTGATCTGATATGTGTTTTTTCCTAGCTGATGTGATCAGGTGAGCGCTGTGGCCCCTGGGCCTCTTGTTGGTATTGTTATTTTCTTTCAAATGTACCACAGAAAAGCAGAATGAATGTAATTAAAATATGATACTGTTTATCACTTTTTAGCTCTACTGGTCAGAGACCAGAAGAGCTTATGCAATAGTAAGGTGTCCGTCGTCCGTCCGTCTATCTGTCTGTTTGTCCGTCTGTCTGTAAAGAATTTTTCAAAATGCTACTCCCCTTACAGTTTTCGTCTGATTTTAATATAACTTGGCACACAAGTAGACTACACTAAGATACATAAAATAGTGCATTGGTTTTTGATTTCGATAAACGGTGTTGCCATGGTTACTAAAAATAGAATTTTCTGTGAAATTCCTTTAAAACGCTTCTCCTTCTACAGTTTTGGTCTGATTTCAATATTACTTGGCACACAAGTAGACTACACTGAGATACATAAAATAGTGCATCGGTTTTTGATTTCGATGAACGGTGTTGCCATGGTTACAAAAAATAGAATTTTCTGTGAAATTCCTTTAAAACGCTACTCCTTCTACAGTTTTGGTCTGATTTCAATATAACTTGGCACACAAGTAGACTACACTAAGATACATAAAATAGTGCATCGGTTTTTGATTTCGATGAACAGTGTCGCCATTGTTACTAAAAATAGAAATTTCTGTGAAATTCTTTCAAAATGCTACTCCTACAGTTTTGGTCTGATGGCAATGGCTTCTTTTCTCATCCTTTGTTATAAGTACAAACCAGTAGAGCTACAGTCTCGACAGAGACTTCTGGTTATTCGTATGAACTCTATTTTAAGTTATTTACATAAGACTGTCTCCTTGCAAAAATGTTATTCTCATGCGTATTTGGGTATTGTGGTTATTTACAATTATAGCTAAAATTTCTGACAATTTTGCCCAGCATACAACATACCGCACAATTTGCTTGAGAACATAAGCTTTCATGAAAATGAGAGATCTGCAGTTTTTAAACTTAGCAAAAATATAAACTCATTTACTTTTAACTATCATTACATGGAAGTTGCTTGGTTCCTGTAATGATATGCATGTAAAATGCCAATAAGTACTGTTCAAACATATTTTAATTACATTCATGTTATTATTTACAATATATATTTTACCAGCATAATTTGTTTTGTCTTAATAAAACAAGAGATGGTTTTCATCATTATCATCTTACTAAGATTGACGAAGAAGACTATATCTTCAAAAAAATAATTTCTTCCAAAAGATTTCATGTTAGTATAAATTTTTGAAAAGGGGCTGGGGGTTAGAAAATGCCTTGATTCTGATTGCTAGGGAATGGGAATAGATGTCGTATTAACTGTATTCACACCATCATTTATGAGTTGCGAGTTGCTGCTTCAAGATACGTAACTTTGGGTTGTACTGACTACTGAGTATAAAGCCTCCTTTAAAATCTTATAATGATTCAATATATTCAACAATATCATTTTGTACTGATAAAATGTAAGAGCAGCAAAAAATATTGACATAGCAGATGTGATGGGCTGTATCTGCTGATATGTAGCGATAGATAAACATTTTCCCAATTGTCTTGCATGAGGAAAAATTGTACTCAAGTCTTGTAAATTTACTTAAATAATCAAAATAGATCAGACAGAACAATTGTGTCTTTCAAATGGTACATTGAACAATACAAAGTCAAAGCATCTTCACTATGTCAAAGTATTACAAGGCATTGACAGTAGGAAATTAGGTCAGCATCCATTTTTTAAATCATCTATTGAAACATTTCTTGTTTTAATGCGAACTTTCAACATGTTATTAAAATAATCAATGCTTCCAAATGTGTAAGAAAAATGTTGAATATTCTTTAAATTAAAATTTTAAAATAGACTACCCAAATCCTCTTTAAACCAAGTATAATGAAATTTGCGAATTTTTAACCTCATCTGGTAGTTATTTTCGGGGTAATTCCTTCTCTAGATTACAAAATCCGGGTTATTGGGGAGATCCTACTTTAACACACCAGTGTTGTAGGATTTCTCTATAGCCAGCTTTCCCCAACAATAGGTACTCCCCGAGGGGAAGTCGTACACTAGAGCCTTTCCTTTTCTTTCTCTCAATCTGAGTATGATGTCCCCTCTTTTAACAAATCTAAATCATATCGAAAATATTTTTTACTAAAAGTTTACGTGGAAACTTAGTTGATAAGAAGTGTTTTCCACTCAAGAACTGCAAATTTCTATGAAATCTGAAACCATCGAGTCGCTCATCTTAGCTATCCAGGGGTATTTGATACGTTACTCTCCTCATTAGTACCCTCCTCATTAGTTAGAATAATCTAACTGTGTCTCGGGACAAGCCCTCACCACAGGTAAACCGGGTCCGTAGGACATTTATCATTTGAACGATAGAACATTCTATCTACCTCCTCATGAGAGTAGTGTATCAGAAACCCTTGGCTAGCGAAGATGCAAGTCACTCAGAAAAAAGAGATTTAAAGTTTTTAAATTGTCATACTTTGTATGTTTTCTAATGTAACTCCATTGATCGCCATATTGAAGAAAGGTCACTTGTTACAATGTGTACCCCTTCCTCATACATTGGTACAATCATCATATTTCATTGGGAGAAAATTAGTTCTTGGGGAAATAGCACTCTTTAACTAGAACGCATAGTAGGATTCCCTCCTGGAAAACTGAATCTGATGTGGGATATGCGTTGGAGTATAAATAATGTCCTCGGTGCTCGAAAAGAAGCAAACAAACAAAAAACAAAAAACAAAAAAACAACGCTTTTCAATGATTTAGTCTTAATGATTTCACGTGAGTATTCTCTTTTAATTAAAACACATGTCCATAACATTTTTATCCAATTTCTGAGTGTTTTTAAAACACATTTTTGAGTATGACCCTTCGTATACTGGAATATGGCAGATCCTATGATTTCCTGGACTTGTTTATTCTTTCTGAAAGATATTTTCTTTTTCAAGTTTGGAAAATGAAACAAGTCAATGTGTAAAAGATCTGGCAAATTTTGTTGGTGTGACAAAACATTAACTATCTGTTTATCCCCAGAACTCCGTACTTTTCATGGCGTGTGGGTTTTGACGCTGTCATGAAGAAATTTAATGTGGATTCCTGATTCGGGTTCCATCCTCTCATAAACCTTTTGTTTTGCAAAAATTTGCTTTCTAGACTTCTCCAGAAATTGAACTGCCTCCCCGAATAAGAATTTTAACAACAAGACCACAAATATTTGAGAAAATGGCAAATAAAACTGTTTTTGTGCATGTGCAGTTCTTTGCATTTCTCAGACTTTGGCTGTTTTTGTAAAGTGCATCCTAATGTTAATTTTTATCCAATTTCTGATTGTTCTTAGAGCTCATTTTTGAGTATGGCCCTTCGTATACTGGAATATGGCAGATATTATGTTTCTTGGACTTGTTTCTTCCTTCTGAAAGGTGTGTCTTCAAGTTTAGAAAATGAACCAACTCAGATCTTATCGTTCGTGTGACAAAACATTAACTTTCCTTTTATCCCCAAAACACCTTTACTTTTCAGGGAGTGTGGGTCTGGACATTGTCGTAAAGAAATTTAACGTAGTGGATTCCTTAATCTGGTTCCTTCCTCTCCTAAAACTTTCGATTTTATGCAAACATTTTGCTTTCAGACTCCTCCAGAAATTGAACTGTCTCACCGAATAAGAATTTAAATAACAAGACCACTAATATTTAAGAAAATGGCATACAAAACTGTCTTTGTACTCTTAATGCAATTCTTTGCTCTTTTCAGACCTTTGCTGTTTTTGTAAAGTGCATTTTATTGTAAATTTGTTTTTAGGGTTTAAAGCAATGGATTCAAGTTTCATTATCTGTTTGAATTTCAGACAAACGTTGATAACTACATTTTTTGATTTGTTTTAATTAGTAGTTTAGGTATTCTTACACGCTGTCGTTTTCACTCATTTTTCAAAACATAAGGTGACCATTGAGCACTAAGCTTTTTTACTGTCAATGTTTCTTTAAAATAGAATGAACTATCCCCAAATTGATGCCTATCAAATTTGCTAGGTAGTTTACTGATTCTTTACCATTCATTTTATGCAGTGTCTCGAAAAGCCCTTGTTTTCAAGCTTCTCACAATGAAACTACACGGAGTATGTGATGAAAAGTTGTCAAATAAACTGCAATCAATTCATTAATGATTCAATCATGAGAGAAAGTGAAGCTTTATGTCATATGATTTCTATATTGTATGTCATAGAGCTCAGGACAGTATTTATTGAACATCCCGCGTTAAACGTCTTAAGAACCCCCCCCCCCCCAATAATATTCACTGAATTATGTAAAATTTACAGCAACCAATGTCTGTTTTATAGACATATGAGCAAGCGGATTTCAATGAACAAAAATTATATAATGGGCATCAAAAATGGGTACCGTCCTTGGCGACAAGGACTTACAACAACCAATGTACTGCTTGCCAAAATTTAATAAAGTCTAGAAAGCAAATTTTTGCAAAACAATCAAAAGGTTTATGAGAGGATGGAACCCGAATCAGGAATCCACTACATTAAATTTCTTCATGACAAGTCAAAACCCACACGCCATGAAGAGTACAGGAGTTCTAGGGATAAACAGGTAGTTAATGTTTTGTCACATAAACAAAATTGGCCAGATCTTTTACCCATTCATTTGTTTTTTTCCAAACTTAAAAAAACAACCTTTTAGAAAGAAGAAACAAGTCCAGGAAATCATAGGATGTGCTATATTCCAGTATACGAAGGGCCATACTCTAAAATGTGTTCTAAAACATTAAGAAATTGGATAAAAATGTTATGGACATGTGTTTTAATTAAAAGAGAATACTTACGTGAAATCATTAAGACTAAATCATTGGAAAGCGTTTTTTGCTTCTTTTCGAGCACCGAGGACATTATTTATTGAACAGCCCTCGCACAACAGCTTTTAAGAAGCGTTTATTTTCACTCTAGTTTACAAATTCTTTACCATTCATTTTAATGCAGTGTCTCGAATAGCTCTTGTTTTCCAGCTTCTCACAATAAAAATATGAAATGAAAAGTGGTCACATAAACTGATATCAATTCATTAAAAATTCAATCATGTGAGAAGAAGTCAACCTTAATGTCATATGATATCTGTGATGTATATCATAGAGTTCAGGACATTATTTTTTAAACAGCCCTCGTATGTAATATTACTTTAGATACCTCCTCCCGCCCGAGCATATTTTCCAAGGAAATTCTTCTCTAGAGCCTTTTTTGTGAGAGGCGAAAACCTTCTCTACAAAACCAGTATACCTTTCCTAGCCACATATTTGTCTGTTCTTTGAAAATTTTAAAAGTGTGTTGTGCAGAATTCAAGTAAAACATTTCGCATTCACTGCTTTCTTTGATCTCCTTTGCCAATTGCCCACTTCCTGATTTTACCGAAATTTATCGAAATTGTTAATTATAGTTTACAAGAAAAAAATGGATAAGAGAAAAGTAGATGGAAGGCAAGAGATAAGGGTTTAGGAACAGGAAGAGGGAAGAGAGAATCTTATGGTATAGGAAGGAAGGAGAAAAAATGGAAACGGGGAAGACAAGGAGTATTGGAAGAAGGAAGAAGTTTATTGGATCACATCGCCGCAAATCAAGGCCAAAATGTACGATCCTCTTCCATGAGAGCTATATACAGACTCCTTGAGACGATGATTGGATCCGGGATGAGAAGGAAGGGAGAGAGGTTTGGGAAGAAGGAAGGAAGAAGGGTATGGGGACAGGGGAGGAAAAAGAAGGGAGAAGGGCATTTGAAGGAGTTTATGGGGTCCGGGAGAGGGAAGGAAGAGGGAATGAAAAGGTTATTGGATCAGGAGAAAGAAGGAAGAGGGACATGGGAAGAAGGTTATTAGGGTCAGGAAGGAGAAGGAAGGGAGAGGGATATGGGAGAGGTATGGGAAAAAAGGTATAGGATTGGGGAGAAGGGAAAATATTATGGAATGGAAAGATGGAAGAAAGGTATGGGATCAGGGAGGAGAGGGGGACTTCGCCTATATTATGATATGTAAAGAAGAATTTTGGAAAAGGGAGAAGAAACGAGGGTATTGATAAAGGATCAGGGAGAATAAAGGGAAAATATTATATAAAAAGGATTTCTCGTAAGAGTCTAGCTGAGTAACATTATTTGGCAATATAACTTTTAGACATGAACTATGAGGATGATGTATACCAGAGAATTGTCGATTTATCGAGGGGCTGACTTCAGCAAAACCTTTATTTACATAATATCAATACATACAGTGGAATGGAGAGGACATAATTTACGTTTTAGTTAAAGTCATACAAGTAATAGAGAGAATAGAGAGAATAACTATTCATTTCACTGTTTTTCCTACGTATACAATTATCTACACGTGTAAATCAGTAAAAGATGTTGAAGCACTTTTTTCTCTCTTCATTCTGTCTTGTACCACGTCATTACTTTTTCAGATTTCTGTCTCTGAAACATATGTAGCTGAATTAATCAGGCAGTCATTCAATGAAAGCATACTCCTTTGAGAACCTTCCACAATTTACTAGGCCACATTGTTTTTCACTATAGAACTCCTGTTTCTGAGACATCTATATCAAAAGGCATCTTTCACAATTTACTACATTGTTTCTCACTATATGAAACCACGCTGATGTAAACTTTACTGATATTGTCAACCTTTTCCAGCCTCGATTTCAAAGAATCCTTCACTTCCTGTGCCTTGTAATTTGACAAGTCTGCTGAGACACAAATGTCCAGTTCAACTGTGATGTCATACCCCACGTGATATGCGCTCACGTGATTAACTGATTCTATGAGGTTGTGATGGTTCATACAAAGCCAAATCAATTTACTGACAATGACTGGGTCCGCTTTGTAGCCTGTCAAAAGCTTGGTTTGATCTTTAAAAAAAGGAAATACACTTTATCCCTTAATTAAACCAACTCAATTGTAAATATATAAACTTCGAGGGTTGAAAATGGTTCCAATAATGTATTTACCTCTTCCGGTAATGTACCAAGTGATTGCTATGTATAGGGAAATAATTATGGCCCCAACTGGATCCACAAATACAAGACATCTTTCTCCTAACTCGTCCTGGATTTCCTTTGATCCTTCAATGTAAAACTCGCATACATGTACAGTCTGTACAAATCTTTAATATACAAGTATCACAGATTGGGAGCTACATTTTTTACTGGAAAGATCCTTCATGAGTTCTAATAAATAAACGCACTTTACTTTTAACTTTCATACCTATATATCCGCAGACAATGGCCAATGTATTAGATAAGACATCATTCCTATGGTCCTGGGCCAGGGCTTGTACCGTAGGGGTCATGATGCGTCGACACAACAGAAACAGGATCAACTTTAGTACTGTAAAAACGCATATATTGCTGATAAAATTAAGACACAACGTGAAATACCTATATGTTGAGGGACATTATAAATAATGAACCCGATCATAGGGAGTAAGCATGCAACCCACTGCCACTTTATGTATTGTATTTTAATTTTTCTAACGGAGGATGTAAATACACTGTATATATACATATTCACAAAAAGATTCAAATCAGAGCTCTTGATTCTTGTATCCTTACACTGATTACGTATAGTGCCACTATGACCAACTAGGGTTCGGATTTTAATCAGGTCAAATTTGAAATATTATATGCAAAAAGTTTATTCAGGTAAATGAATCTTAGTGTAAGATCAATTTGTAGATTTATCTCCCCTAGGAGATGGTCATCTTCCCTAAATTGTACGTTTCCTATATTTTTCTTTTCACCTATTTTACTTTTTTTTTTTTAGCAGAAATCAAATATATGTTTAAAATCTTATATTTAGTGATAAAACATAGAATTGATAATACAATCCCGTACCTATAGTGACGCATGATATAGAAATGGTGATGTAATCCACCGTGGGCGGTGCTATAGATCCATTAGACAGGGCTGTGATTTTACCGAGCGCCTCCTTCAGAAGCTGTAACGATGCCATTCCCATGATGACCGACAACAGAATCACTGCAAGAGGTTCCAACAGGTGGCGCCCTATGAACAAACCGACGCCATATTAGATTTTTTAAATAGATTCGTCCAATGCTTTCTAATATTGTAATCTTTATAATTTATGATATAATAAATATTTTAAGATAATACTCCAGTAACAATCTTATAAATCATCCATAAGCTTAATTTGCATCGCGATTGTAATGTACGTTTAATTATTTAATGTAAAATTACTTATTTTCGTGGGGCCTGTGTTTTCGCGGTTCAAGGAAAAATATTTGTTAGTGGTGTTAAGAAATAGTTCATGTTTGAAATTGAATACAGTCGTGGAGGACGTTAATTAAAGGGTCTCTTAATACATGTACCAACAGAAACCCAGAAACATAAAGTGGGTCTCTTATTAATATTACGAAATACCGTTAATACCCCAAATCAACGAAAAAGTCATTTAACAGAAGTTCTGTCTACAGATACATAAACATGTATGTATTTATGGCTCTTCATATAAATTCTTATAGCTTTGTAAAACCTTGATGTTATTGGCTATCGAATTTTAGACATACGGAGGAAAAGTTAATATTTTGCTTTACCATTAGGATATTTAAAATGGTTAGTTTTACGGACAGCTCTGGTCGTTATCCAGACAACGAAACCAGAAACTAGATCCACCACACTGTCGACGAGACTGGTTATGATGGCCATGGAGCCCGACAGGATAGCCGCTGTCATCTTGGCCGCCAGTAAAACCTAAAAAACAAAATGTTCATATACAATAAAGAAGGTAGTGTATCTATTTTCCTGTTTATGTCTGTATTTGCACTGAAATTTAGATCGTCTGATAACGTGGAATATCGAATGTTAGTCATGTCGATGCGTAGAACTTTAAAGCACATATGCCTACCAGAGGCACATAGTATCGGGGTGGGGGGGATGTTCCATATATTTAACATTTTAATATAGAAAATTATTGCTGAAGTTTAAATAAGGATCATAACTTAGTGTTTTAGTAAGAAAAATTGATAATGAAAGAAGTTAAACCCCCGTCCCTCACCACCACCACCCCACTAAATAGGATATATAATTCGACTTTGGAAAATTTTCTTTCTGTTTTCCTTGTCAAGTTTTTTTTTCAGTTATGTTGAATTCCCCTTTCAAAACGATGCTATTTCACTGTACTAGATGATGTAAATGCTTAGCAGTCTATCAAAATCGGAAAATTTGCTTCCAGGAATTTGAAGTCTATATCTAAGTATTGCTTTTTTCCCCATTTTATGAATTTATTTCACTCATAATTGTATTAATGATTGTGTCCATCAGAATATCTAAAAATGACTGATGATTGTCAAGATTGTGACAGAATGAAAAAAATTCAGTTTTCAAAACTATTGAGACTGCTTTAACAATAGACCTCCAGATCACCTAGCACTCACCAGATTTGCAGCAAAACTAATTTTGGCATACAATGACGTCTTTTTCCTCAGTGATTTAGACCGAGCTTGTTTGTCGTCCTTTGGTTTCTCCGCTTCCTCGTACCCCGCTATCAATTTATCTTGATACTCGTAGAATTTTCTGCAAAGATAGACAGACACGGTTGATTTTTTTTTTTATGGATCTGATAAGAATTGCGCTCATTTTGTAGATACTATATGTAGTTGAAATATTTTTTTTCAAATGAACGTAAGTATTCTATAAAAAAAAAACACAGAAGCTGACAACGAACAAACTTTTAATATTTTGAACAACGAATGAAAGAACAAAAATAAAATATTCAAACTAAAAAAAATTACAAAAATAATTAAGAGAAGAGCACGAAGAATCTAAAATTGCTGTATTAAAAAATATTTCTTCTCATTTTGAGAAACAGTTCTTGCCTGGAAGCATTAGAAACTTTGCGTTCTTTTTGGACACCTTTCGATCTCAGGAAAAGATCCAGATTCATCTCAAAGTTTTTCCTATTCTCTAAAATGAGAGAAAATATTATTATAAAATCTTTTTTATCTATGCACGAATATTGAATAAGAATGCTAAATGATTTGTCGAATAACTAAGTACATCTTGCAAATCAAAACTATTTATCCCTTTCTTTTAAACTTTTACTCTAAAAAAAATCAGAAGAGTAGCAACAGGGGAGGCCCAACTTTTTTCCCAAACATAACTTTTTACTGTTGAAAATGTTCATTGAAAGGCTGGTTGCCCCCCCCCCCCCTCCTTTTTTTTTAAATGTAGTATATTATAGGAAGAAAATTTGGTACTGAAAGAAGTTGAAATACCCCCCCCCCTTTTTTTTGCTTGTCAAGTTTTTTCATCTAGGATGAACATTTTTCTCTCGTTGTTCCCCCAATTTAAAAAACGATGCTACGTCATTGAAACTAAATAAATGATGAAAATAAAGCGAACAGAAAAATTCGTCATGCATTATCTATATACATTGTCTATCAGAGTTTGAATTACCCTCCAGGGGAGACACATGGCCGTTGCTAAGTTTTTCTGTTGGATGCTGTGTGAACATGGTATCAGAACCTTCGACAGAATTGTCTGGGACGAATGCTTGGTTCTAAAATAAATAAATAAATAAATAGATATCCCAAAAATCAAACAAAAAATATATTTTTTATATGCATGCACATACTAGTTACTTTTTTTTGCAAATATATAATTAATTTTAAATCAAATATTTTTATTTCAAACCCTGGGAATTGATATGTATATATGTATTCACGTATTTATTTATCTATTTTTTTTATAAAAATACTTACAATTTCACTTTGGTACTCTAATGATTTTTCTACTTGAGAGTTTGATATGAATTCTTCTGAATTTGAAAGGCAAGATTTTTGTAGAGATTTCTCCACACATGAACACCGATACTCCACATTTGAATTTCTTAGAAAAGTTTGGTATGCTTGGGACTCTAAAACTCGTGTGCATTCTGGACAGAAGCACTCAGAACTACAGGTGCATCTGTTGTATTGTAGTACTGAAAACCCACATGATGTGCACTCAAATTGACAATTTTTCCATTCCATTAGCCATGGGCATCTCCGCAGAGGCGAATTTTCGATCATGTCCGAGTGGTTATGTTGCGATCCTTTGCATATCTAGATGATTAACAAAATTAAGAAGTTGATTTGATAAATTTTTGCAGCAATTTAAAACTGATCCATTACACTATTTTAAGAAGGGGGGGGGGGGGGTACCAGAGCAAGGATTCCTATACCAGTTGAATAATTTGTCATTTCATTTTAGACTAAATAATAACAATATTCATAATTTACATTTTTAATTATTATCTCTAAATATGATAATGTTATTATTATTATTATTAAATTTAAATTTTATTAAATTTTATTTATTTTTTTAATTTCTGTATATCCCTATTATTACTAGTATTTTACTGGTCTTTTATTCTATTTATTACAGGAAAATACCATTTTAGAAATCGTTGAAATACTATACAGTATACTAGTATATAATTTTTGTGCTCATTTTATATCTATACGGCCTACATAGGCGTCGGAACCGGGAGGGGGGGGGGGCTAGGGGGGCTTAGCCCCCCCCCCCCCCCACTTTTTTTCCAAATATATACTTGGTATAGACATTGAACATATCTCCGGAGGTTTACCCCCCCCCCCCCATAAATTTTTTCCAAATTTATACTTAGTATAGACAGTGAACATATCTTTGGAGGTTTTCCACAGATATGTCTTAGTATAGGTTAAAAATGGGGAAAGGTGGTTTTTGGAAAAAAAAAATTGGTACTTTACACCCCCCCCCCCCCCCCGAAATAGGATTTTCATGTTTGGGAAATGGACATTTTCCTTTTTTTTTTTTTGCTTGTCAGGTTTTTTGAAGGTACAAAAATTTTTCTTTACACATAGCCCCCCCACCCCCACTTTCAATTTGCTTCCGACGCCAATGGCCTACACATGAGTATACCCAAAAATGCCACAATATTTGATTTAAAAAAAAAATACATGTATAAAGCTGCGAACGTGCCTCACACTCGATGTGACCTGGTACGCAGTTCCATCACGAGAGCTCACGCGGGTGTAAGTTCATTCTTTGGAACAGACCAAAACAAAGTGAGAAGCGTGCATATTAATCTCGGTAAGTACATTGTACATATTAATTCATCTTATATACACGCCGTCTCTGGACAATTTTAATGAATTCAAAATCTGATCTCCCAGTATTTCTGATGGATTATAGGACTATTCAAGAAACAGACGTTTCTCCTGCGTATATGTCGATCTTTTATTTTAAGCGCTGGCTGTTATGGTCAAGTTGTTCATATGAATTCGTCATGTGATAGGAAACTCAAGGTTATCGATACTGTCTTTATTTCTCATAGTACTCAATATTCACATATTTTTATCTCTATGCTAGTCAAAGATGACAAAGCCCTGACAATGAAACAAATAAAAAGCAATCTAAATTTAGAACTGTATGCGTTAAACTAAGTGATATAAATAATCTATCGATCCCTGTTTGGCACAGGGGATGTAGCTCAGTGGTAGAGCGCTCGCTTCGCATGTGAGAGGCCCCGGGTTCAATCCCCGGCATCTCCACAGTTTTTTTTTTTTTCAAATATTTTTTTCTGTCTCACTTTCAAACATACAGAAAGTAATAATGCATTTTATTTTTTCTATTTTTTTAAATACATGTATATGTAAATATTTTTTCAACTATTACAGATTTTTAAACAAATAAAATTAGCTTTATTCTAAGTAATACAAAAATTTTGAGCCCTTCATGTTTGGCATGCTAAAGATGTATAGAATTTTTAAAGATATATTATCTTTGTTGTGTATACATTGATTGTAAAAAGCAAATTTACATAAATGAATCAATTTTTTTTTTAATGTATAAAATTATCTCAGTATAATACTATTGCATAAATAAATCAAGTGTGCAATGAAATGACAGTAATTATATTACTGTATCGATACTATAATTATCACGAAGTCACATTGTCAAGATATCAAATGTAAACGAAAGAAAATATAAAATAATTGGACTTTGTCTATAATCATAGATAAAGCAAGCCACAGACACACTTTTAATACTGTACACGGTAACGCACGGTGCAGTATATGCATGAGACATTTTGAAAAGAATTAATCTGTCCACCGCTAGTAATATTCTCATTCAGTTGACATTAATTAATTTCCATTATATATAGGTAGATCTTACCCCAGTGCTTTCAGAGGATGACATCCCGGATTCTAGCGGTTTTCCTGCTCTGGGTCACTGTCTCACAACTAATAAGGTAATAATTCCTTAATTATTATTTTTTTTAAAATTCCAATATTAAAAAATTATCAGGAATATGTACATGCATGCGTCTGTGCTATCTTTGGAGTCTTTTAGAACGGGGGACGATGTGAGGTATTTTATTGCAGTTCGCCCCAGATCGGCCGAACTTTGACGATGATTGATGGCGACCGACGTCCGGACAGATTTTAGTCGTTCTTATACGGGTTATATAACACGTCTCAACGTTGTTTATTGTCTTGTAATCATGGCATACATCATATAAATACAGATGTACTAATGCTAGTGTATTGGAAAAAGGGAGGGAGGTTGGGGTAATGTTTTATAGAAAAGTCTGCAGGTCAGGCGAAGGTGACAACCTGATTATTTTTTTCGATCCTGGCATGCAGTCCTGCTTTATGTAGACACTTGACATAATCCACTTTTCATTTTTACGGAAACAATAAACTACAAAAAAGGCAGGAATAATAAAAATTGAAGTGTGACGTATAATTTCTAATGTTAAGTATTTATCGTCCTTCAAGTTGAAGTAGTTTAAATTGAATTCCTTTATAAAATTGCTAAAAAGTGGGGGTTCTCTTGAACAATATTTATAAATTATAGCTGCAGAAATTTTTCTGATATTTTCCAGATTCCGTTATAAGAATATAAAAATAAAACAAAGAAATTCTCAGAAGTAGAGAAGTCAAGTGTGACCAGATGAGGAGAGGGTCGTCACCCTTGGCTACCGAGGTGTGATGATATTAATAGTCTCATAAGTGTTTTATAAAACTTTGTTGTAAAAAAAATCCTGCTGACCACTGTTTTACAGACGATGTACGAGTCTATCTAAAGGCATAAATCCTGATATAAATGAGAAAAGTTGTATATGATATTAACATGTGATTTTAACCAGAAAAATAAAATAAAAATGTAGAAAAAATAATTCTCCTCTTGCTTAGAATTGACAAATTGGATTAAATCGTTCCGTATGTAAAAAAAAAGAAGGGGGGATTGCGTTTTGCTCTTGTTTGCAGAAACAGAAGTCTCCTAAAATAATTTTGAAGGTGTAAAACGAAAAAAAAATTCCATATTTAACTGAACATGCTTATTCTAGTAAATAACTCCACATTTACTATGTTGATTTCACGAAAATAAGTACATGTAAAAAATAATGATTTCGAATAAATTAATAAATAATTTTAAACAATATCATATGTACATGTATAAATGAAGAGGCATTTTATTATAATCCACCGTCGCGATTTAAAATACTTATGCAATATTACATTTTTAATTACTTAGTATTTATAATTTTTTTCGCAATATTTTAACTCTCTGTCTCCAACAACATTTGCCTCCTGGCGACCGTTTCTTTTTTAACTCAGTTGAAGGAAGTTATGGCACTTTTCCTTGAAACATGGAGAATCTGTAAATATATGCACCAGTGATTTTGTTCCGTTTCTGAGTTTTTATTCACACGTATTCTAGCATTTGATGTAGAAAGTTGGAATTTCGCACATGCCAGTTTATTTTTCTAATCAATATCCTGAATAACCTAGCTGCAAACCAACTGAATAGACTGTTAATCTTTTTTTTATTTATTAATTTACAAGGTAAATACACTGTACTTACTATAGTAAAAATTCTCCTTCTTTTTTTTTTTTTTTTTTTTTTTTTTGCTGTTGTTTGTTATTTTGAGTTTTTTAAAGTAGAAAAACACCCCCATACCCAAATTAAAATATTTTTTCAATTAAAAAAAATAACTTAAAAGATAAAATGAGGAAAAGACAATTTAAAGTCTTAATGTTGTCGGAGAAATATAGTGTCGTTAACGTTTACTTCTTATATAAATCATTAGGCAGTAATGAAGGTCACATGCGTTTGCCATGTGACTGAGGCAATAGTAAGTGCATTTCAATACACAATTTATGTAACCAAACTCATTAGTTACCTAGTTAAAAGACCAATTGCGGACTATAAGAAAGTACTTATTTATATCTTACAAATAGACCCACGTATAGCAACGCGGTTTTGATGATAAACTCGACAAAAAGAGGAGGTTGGAGGTTGGCCTTTGCCGAAACTGTTTTAAATGCCTGAATTTGCCTGCGCTCGCCATTACAGCAATAAAAGGTGGTCAGGGGATGGAGGGAAGCATCTAGCATCTAAATGAAAATATACAAAATTTAAAAAAAACGTACAAACTACAGATTTACTACAGACACTACACTCGGAAAAAGTGAGGGGGGGGGTATTCACCCCTTCTATGCGCTAGCCCTGGGTTCCACGGGGCTTACAGAAACAAGCGATAGAATACTGCTAACTTAAAAAAAAACGTACAGCACAACGACTGCGAGAGTAGCCATTAATCTATGTGCAATGTGTTCAGGAATGTATAGTATCGTTTTTTGAAAAGGGGGGAGTTGTAAACTTTAAAAAAAATTGCAAAAGAAAAAAGGGGGTTTTCAAATCCTGAAAATGACGACCCTGTTTTGTGTGAGTGTGTGTGGTGGTGGTGGTTCGGGGGAGGGGGTGTGTTAGGTCAAATCTTCATAACTAAATTTTATTACAGCATTACTATATAACGGTACCGTTAGGAAAAATATGAGAGATCATTTATGCATAAATAGTGTAAATTATTCAAAGAGTTTTAATATTTTTAAAATTTATTTTCAGTTGTGAAAAATACCCCGAGGATGCAGAGACCGCATTGAAAATCTTTCAGTAAGAACACACTACATATATAAAACTCTGAAAAGGGCAGTATTATTTAATATTTCTTTATAAATTGTACTGTTTTTGAAAAATAAAAATAAAATGATGTTTCTTATTTACTGACATGAAATATTATAATGGTGTTCTGTGGGTTGGGTAGGGGTTGGGGCGTAACCTTATGGGTCAAAACTGTACTGTGTGGCCCAATTTTTTGGTTATTTGGTTGTTTGTAGAATGTGGAAAAAGGAGCACAACAAAGAGTACAGAAATCAGGAAATAGAAGGCAGAAAATTCAAGGTCTTCATGGAAAATCTGAAAGTCATAAACGAACTCAACGTTATGTTTGAGTAAGTATTGTTACAAGTAGAAAACATTATTTATATACCGGTATCCTCAAACTGGTCAGCATTCAGATTTATATGGACCATATATAAATACTTAGGAAATTAAACAAAAAAATCTTCTTTAGAAGAGCAGAATTCCTCAAAAATCATATTAACATATTAATATGCAAAGTTGTAAAGTTATAAAGTTTGGGGAAAAGTTTACTCAAGTGAGCGTTGTGGCCCAGGGATTTATTTTGAAATATCATGTCCTTTTTTACATTTTACGTAAATCAGTATAATAGAAGATATTTTGACAAAAGTTCTCAGCAGTTAGTTAATCCACATCTGTTCACCCTTGTTTTGGTAGGGTCAGTGTTCTTGTCTGGTATTTTATTTGTCCTTATGGAGTTTGAACTGGGTTACTGGCAGCTCGAATCCATTATGCCTTTATTAAATTCTTCATCGGTAAAATTTATAGGGAAAAACATACAGGTGAGAAATACGATATATTTCTTACAACAGCATATACAGCATTTCGGCGATGACAAGAACGAAAATTTACTTTTTGAATATATTTCTTGAATGAATTATTTTATTTTTTATTTTTGAAAGAATACTTTTCGTAATTGTCCAGATGTTAGAAAATAGTGAGAATTTGTCCTTTCTGGTGATTGACATCATGTATCACATGTTTAATGTCATCAATCACCTGTTCGTCAGATCTCTGGCAGGAATCAATCAATAAATGATCAAAGTCTGATCTTACGCTAATTCACCTTAAAAAATCTTCGATTCAATGGAAGCCCAAATATATATTTTGCTACAACAGTAGAATTTTTTTTGCCTGTTCGAGCGATTTTATATATTTAATAAAAAGAAACAACTCTGCCTTCTGTTAACATAAAATATACAGTACACTGTAGTCAAGATAGCAATGGTGAAGCAATGTTTAGGTAAATTCATCAAAGCATGTACATTTTACAGTAAAGTCTTTAACAGATAATGGTACGCAAGCATTATGGAACCCATACTAAAAATGATAAAAGAGAGGTGACAACCATTACTTCATCTAATCTTTCAGAATTTGTGTCACAAATTGTCATTTAATTTTGAACCTAGTGATTATTTTTTTTTTCCAAAGCAGTATAGCTTTGTAAGGAATTCCAATATTTCCTTTTATTTAATTTTTAAGATAAGAACTCTGAGTGTTCAGTGAATGTGATCTCTGGTCGTATCCAAATTACATGTACATGTATGTTAATGATTTTTTTCTTCATTTACTTTCGATGATGGCTAATTTTCTCTGTACATAGAAAAAAAATCCACTTTGATTTTCGTTTAGGGCATGACGTTTCTTATTTGTTCATCATTCATGGAGAGATGCATGTAAAACGTTGAGACAGATTTATTTTTCTTTGCGAGTTTAACAGGCAATGCAAAAAATTGCACGTGCCCTAACTGTTAAACACATTTCGTTTCAGGGGGAAGACGGTCTTTGGCTTGAACCATCTGGCAGATTTAAGTCAAAAGGAATTTTCCAAAACAGTATTAATGCCCAAAAGAAGGGCGCCAGTTTTTGAAAAAGAAAGGTAATATAGAATGATTAATTCACGTGATGCAAGTGTCATTGGGCTTTTAAAATGTAGATTAATGGTAATTAAAGTGAGTGTTTGAAAGCACTTTACAGAAATAAATGAACAATATTTTGTAATTATGACTCTAACAGATAAAAGGAATTTCGGCACGTCTTATATATTGTAACACGTACAAAAACAACAAGTAAACTGGTAATGTTAACGTTTGTCTAGTGATTAACACGACCTAATACATTGTCAGACATGAATAAATGTTTGCCTTTAGCAAGAACACATGTATGTAGAAAAAAAATAACATTTCCTCATTTGTTTGTTTACAAAAACAGTCCATGCTTTAGCATTGACCTTTAATTGCTTTGTTAAATAAATTAATTGACAGTAATCCGAAAAATATAATGTCTGGTCCCAATTTTTTTTTTCTCATGACCATGATTAAACTTCATATAACAAACGTACAATATTGTCTGGGTTTTTATTTTCCGTTTTATTAAATGAATTGTTTGAGTCCTTCCTGTTCATGCTGGAACTTAATATTGATATTTATGTTTATAGATATGTAAGGAGCTCAAGGTCTGGATCTCTCCCTGACTCATTCGATTGGTCAACCCAAAACAAAGTCACAGCAATCAAGGATCAAGGTGACGGAATCATACTGGAAATTGATAAATTTAATTACTTATTAGCATAATCATTAATATCAAATATGTTGAAAAGAAATAAATCTATAGGCATAGCGCAGTAAGTTCACAATTATGTATTTAAAAAAGAGGGGATGGGGAGTCTTACTTTTCATCCAGTTCCTTTGTTGGAGGAATTTGCTACATGGCAAGTCCTATCATCGCCTTTATTAGGTCACCTGAGTAAACTCAGGTGACCTATTGCTATCCGTTTTCGTCCGTCGTCGTGCGTCGTGTGTTGTGTGTTGTGTGTAGTGTGTCGTGTGTTAACATTTAAACATTTTCAGCTTCTTCTCTGCAACCATTGAACCAATTTCAACCAAATTTGGCACAAAGCATCTATGGGTGAAGGGGAACAAAAATTGTGAATTTCATGATCCCTGCCCCCCTGGGGCCTGAGGGGTGGGGCCAAAACCACTCAAATTAATACAATCTTTAAAAATCTTCTTCTTTACTCCAGGACATCAAGCAGTCAAACTGTTTGCATGATTGTAATCAGCATTGAGTCCTCTACCAAAATTGTGAAATTCATGGCCCCAGGGTAAGGGGTTCTAGTGCTAGGTGGGGCTATATAGATTATATTGTGAAAATGCATTATTTCTTTGAAAATCTTCTTCTCTGCTCCTGGGTATTAAATAAACCAACTAGGTACATACATGTAGTTATGATGAGAATGAGTGCCTCTACCAAAATTGTGAATTTTATGGCCCCAGGGTCAAGGGTTCTGGTGTTAGGGGGGGGGCTCTAGTGAAAATACATGAATTCTTTGAAAATCTTCTTCTCTGCTCCTAGGTATTTAATAAACTAACTAAGTGCATAGTTATGATGAGCAAGAGTGTCTCTACCAAAATTGTGAATTTTATATATATATTGATTATAATAAAAATACATGAATTCTTTGAAAATCTTCCTCTCTGCTCCTAGGTATTAAATAAACTAAGTGCATAGTTATTATGATCAAGAGTACTTCAACCAAAATTGTGAATTTTATGGTCCCAGGGTCAGGGGTTCTGGTGTTAGGGCGGGGTTCTATAGATTATATAGTAAAAATACATGAATTCTTTGAAAATCTCTTCTCTGCTCCTAGGTATTAAATAAACAAACTAAGTGCATAGTTATGGTGAGCAAGAGTGCTTTTACCAAAATTGTGAATTTTGTGGTCCCAGGGTCAGGGGCTCTCATCATGTGTTAGGACAGGGCTCGTTTGATTATATATTGAAAATACATGAATTCTTTGAAAATCTTCTTCTCTGCTCCTAGGAATTAAATAAACTAACTAAGTACATAGTTATGATGAGGAAGAATGCCTCTTCTAAAATTTTGAATTTTATGGCCCCAGGGTCAGGGGTTCTGGTGTTAGGGCGGGGCTGTATTGATTATGTAGTGAAAATACATTAAATCTTTGAAAATTTTCTTCTCTGTCTCTGGGTATGAAGCAGATGAACTACCTATATAGTTATGATGAGCAAGGGCCCTAATCTTGCAGAATTGTGAATTTCAAGGCCCCAGGGTCAGTGTTGGGGGGGGGGGAGGGGCTATACTTATATACTGAAAATGAATTAATTGTTTGAAATCTGCTCCTTTGTATTTATAAAACATTTATTTATTTTTTGATAGGCAATTTTAAGGGTGCCTTTTTAAAATTTGTGCAATGTGTGGACCTAGGGTCAGGGGTTTTTGTCACAGTGTTAGGAGCACTACTGTTTATTGCTGAATATTACTGATTAGTTGGAATGCATTTTTGTTCCCCTACCCTGCGTATGGGTATTCAGTAACCAAGCTAAGCAACTTCTAAGTGTATTGTTATGATGACCAGTGGTGCCTCTTTCAAAATTGTGAATGCCATATAGCATCTGGCTTAAAACATGAATCAAATTCAATAACTGGAAAGTTGTTGCATAATGCTCAGGTGACCTATAAGGCCCGTTGGCCTCTTGTTTCTTTATAACTTCTTTCTTTCCAAAAATGTAGGTCCTATCTGATATCAAAAATCTGATTTTCTCATATCAGAAAATGATTTTTTTTGTCATCAGAAATTCAACTGATATATACAGCTGTAAATATAAAAAAAATATAATTTCTGATATAAAAAAAAAAGTAGAAATGACGAAGAATTTTCACATAAATAATAGCTATTTTATTGACATGCAGGCATGTTCACGAAGCTATCTTAGGACTATGGTGTGTCCTAAGAACGTCTTAGGAAATGTCCTAGTCTTAAGCCAGTTTCTCGAAGCTTTCCTAAATTTGTGAACTTGCCTAGGTTTTTCCTAACTTTAGGACAACATAAAGCTTGTCCTAAGATCATCCTAAGTGTGTTGTGATGCTTTTGATTTTGAACATTGCAAGTATTTGCGACAATTTCTCATGATTTTTTGTTTCTCAACAGTTCGTGTATGAGCTTATGATTTACACGAATGATTAAAAAAGAAATGTTACCAAAAAGCCTCTTCTTTGCAATATGTGTTACAATTTTCGATATTTTTAATATAGAGATGATATTTATATTTTCCACCTTATCAAGAAGCATCTGAATATCGCACTTGAAAATTTCAAAAAAAAGTTATTACGTTGTACCGTTTTTCAAGTTAAGAAGGGGGGATATTAATTAAATTAACAAAAACTAAAATTTTGGGGGAAAAACTGACATAAAAAAGAAAAGTTTCCATTCACAAAAACATACACGTATGTGTGTTGGGGGGTTGGGGGTTGGAGAGGGGTTATTCGTTAATTAAAAGTGAAGGTGGGGATGGACCGATCATTTATCAAAACTTCTATCATAGATTAATAGCAATAAACTTACTTTCGGAAAATAACGAGGGACCAACCCAACCCCTAACTCCCCCAACCCGATTACCTAGCATACTACGTGGAATTTTACGAGATAATGGAACTATTGACATGTTCTAATTTCTGAATTAACCAGTTGGGAGTAAATACAAAATTTATAACAGTTGTCATTCAAATATTTAAACTATTGAGAGTTCCAATATTCAAGAAAAAAATGTTGGCTTTAAATAGTGATTTCTTTGTTTGACAATACTTTTTTTTTCGTGTCCCACAAAATTCATTTTATTTTTAATCAGCTTATTTATCAAAAAATGACACAGACTTTTATAATACTTAACATAGGCATCGAAAGCAAACTGAAAGTGGGATCGCTAATTAAAAGTTCGGGGGGGGGGGGGCTAAACCAACAGGAAAAGTAAACCCTAATTTTCAATGCTTATATTATGTCTAGCATCAAGTAATGAGAGGTTAATCATATTTTTAAACTATAAATCTTAACTATACTTTGTTTATTTCAATACGATTTTCAAGCGGTACTAAATATTTTATAATTTAAAAAAAATGCAAACATCAAAATACACTGAGGTCACATGTACATGTAAATGGATTTCCTTTCTTTTTATTTTATTTTGGCTATAAATGTCTCCAAAATTTCATAGTTATCGATAAATGTTTAAGAAACAATTGTTCATTGTAAGTTAGGATGTCGTAACTTAAGATCTTCCTAAGTTAACATCGAGATACATCTTATGATATGTCTTAAGTTGAACTTAGGATGTTCCTAACTTTCTTCTAAGTCATATCTTAGGAATAATCTTAGGACAAATCTTCGGAAAGTTTCATGAACATGCCTGCAGAAGAAAAATCGCTGAACCATATTTCCTGGTCTGCTTTCTCGACTTTGTTGTTTTTTCAACTTTTTAATGAAAGAATTTAGACGAATTTTCCGTAATAAAGTTTGATTTTCCATATAGCCTACATTATAATTCCTCACAGAGGCAAAAATAACAGAGATTAGCAAATATGCATTAAAACACGTTTATTTAAGTAATATATTCGATGGTCCTGGTTTATTCTATTTATTTAAGACAAATACTTGTTAAGCATTGTTTAAAAGAAGAAAAAATAGCATCCTGAATAATTTGCTAATATAGTTTTTTTTTTTTTTTACGTTTTTGTTATCCATGATATATTTAAGAATTATGAAATTTAAATTGTATGTGATTTGGAAAGTTAATAATAGGGACCGCAAGATCACAAAATTTTGAACAATAACGAACCTTTGTTATTCATGTATCTGCTTACATGTATCTAGAGGTATACAACTGCAGGCATGTTCATGAAACTTTCCTAAGATTTGTCCTAAGATTATTCCTAAGATATTATATCGATAAATATGAAATTTTGGAGACATTTTAAGCCATAAAAAAAAGGAAATCCATTTACATGTACATGTGACCTCAGTATATTTTGATGTTTGCATTTTTAAAAAAAAAATAATAAGATATTAAGTACCGCTTGTAAATCGTATTGAAATAAACAAATTATAGGTAAGATTTATAGTTAAAAAATATTATTAACCTCACATTACCTTGATGATGATTGTGATATAAAGCATACATGTAGGCGTCAGAACCGGGGGGGGGGGGGCGCTCGGGGGGGCTTATCCCGCCCCAACTTTTTTTTGCAAAGATAGACATAATATTGGCATTGAAAATTAGGGTTTACTTATTCTGTTGGTTTAGCCCCCACCCCCTACTTTCAATTAGCCACCCCACACCCCATGCCTCCGACGCGTATGTAAAGTATTATAAAAGTCTCTGTCATTTTTTGATAAATAAGCTGATTAAAAATAAAATGAATTTTGTAGGACACGAAAAAAAAATTTCAAACAAAGAAATCACTATTTTTTTTTTCTTGAATATTGGAACTCTCTATAGTTTAAATATTTGAATGACAACTGTTCTAAATTTTGTATTTACTCCCAACCGGTTAATCTATGATAGAAGTTTTGATAAATGATCGGTCCATCCCCACCTTCACTTTTAATTAACGAATAACCCATCCCCCCTCCCCCAAAACACATACGTGTATTAAATATGTTTTTCTGAATGAAACGTTTTCTTTATTTTTATGTCAAAGCTTTTTTCCGAAAATTTTATTTAATTAATATTTCCCCCCTTCTTAACCTGAAAAACTGTATAACGTGATAAAAAAAAAATTGAAATTTTCAAGTGCGATATTCATGTGAATTCTTGATAATGTGGAAAATATAAATATCATCTCTGTATTAAAAGTATCGAAAATTGCAACATATGTTGTATCATTTCATTTTTAATTATTTGTATAAATTCACAGATCATACACGGACTGCTGAGAAACAAGAAATTGTCGTTAATACTTGCAATGTTCAAAATCAAAAGCATCACAACAAACTTAGGATGATCTTAAGACAAGCTTTATTTTGTCCTAAAGTTAGGAAAAACTTAGGCAAGTTCCTAAATTTAGGAAAGCTTCGAGAAACTGACTTAAGACTAGGACATTTCCTAAGACGTTCTTAGGACACACCGTAGTCCTAAGATAGCTTCGTGAACATGCCTGCTGATTTCTGGTGGAAAGATGAAGGTTGCACCACAAGGAGCATTCATTAGTCCGATCACAATTTTATGGGGTCTTATTTTCTTCTATCAAAAATCGATTTTCTATATCTGAAAATACAAAATATTTTATATGTCAAAAAAATAAAAAGGAAACAAAGACAAGGATAGGCTTAGTCCTCTTTTTGGTCCCTGATTTTGGGTGTCTTTTAGAATGATGAAACAATTTATCAATAAAAACTTGTTGTCATCCTGCCACAAAATGAATATAAGTTCTAAGTTTTGGAATATACAGAGAGGTCAGAAAATATGTCAATTTTTCGATTTTTCTCATTTTTTTGCAACTTTTTTTTTTTAGATTTGACAGCACACTGTTTCGAAAATCATAGAGAACGTCAAGCTTGCCTATCTACCAAATTATATATTTTAAACACTAGTATCAAATACAGTTTATGTGTGAAAAACTCAGATAGGCAAGCTTGTGCTATAAGTTTTCATAAGAGAAAAGTATCACAAGTATAATGAAATTCCACCAGAATTGAGCGAGTAAATTAATGTCCTACTTCTGCACCCTCTCGTGACCTCCGTGTAAGCTTTGAACCCAAATAAGTGCTGGTGTTAAAGCAAGCATCATTTTAAGTTCTTAACTACAAACTATCACAATTTTGCCTGTGTTCTGTTTTTTACATCTAATTAATTAGGGGTAAGATTCGGCCGTTTCCCTATCTTGTCCTTTCTGATATCAAAAAAATAAAGTTTCTAATATCAGAAATGATATGTTGATATCAAGAAATTTAAAAAAACCACATTTTTAAATATATTTCCTTTTACATTATTAAGAATTTGAAAAATTAATATCAAAATATTAATATTATGATATAAAGAATTGCAAAACCTTTTTGATATTAGAAAAAAGAATACTTACTCATTTATTCTAATTAAAAATACGATTTTTGGATTACAGAAAAATGATATTTAGATATCAGGAATCAATTTTCTGATAAAAAGAAAATCACCATTTTTTTTAAATATTAAGAATAAGGATTATTGATATTAAAACATTAATTTTTGATATCAAGAATTCCAAGTTATTTTTGATATCAGATAAAAATAATTTTTCAATTTAAAAAAAATAATTTTTTTTAGAAAATTATTTTTTATATCAAATATCGATTTTTGAATATGAAAAAAAATCAACATTTATAATTTTTATATACTGTATATTTGTCACAGATCCCCCTAAACATATTTAATGTGTATTCTATTGGTTAATTGTACCTTTACAATTCAAATGGTTTTCCATGTCTATATAAGCAATTTTTCTATTGGTTTTCTATGCTTTACATTCTTACGTAAATTCACACAATATTGCCAATTTCATGCCATCAATTTTGTATTTCGTACATGCAACTTAAAAGATAAATGGCCCAAAGAAATTGTTCAAATAGGTACAGTGCTCGTGAGAGAGAGAGAGAGAGAGAGAGAGAGAGAGAGAGAGAACCTGCTGAAAATGTTCTTAGTAATGAGACACTTTTATTATTTTTAAGGTATTTCTGATATAAAAATTTGAATAATTTGAATTCAAGATAATTTTTTAATATCATACCTAATTCTTAATAAATATTCGTAATATTGAGGTCATGGTCAGTTATACGGCAGTGAAAAACAAAAAACCAAAACCAAACTTTTCTGCTGCTTTGTTAAGATGACAAATGCGATACTTCGTGGTTACCCACATCGATTATTTGTTCTTTATTGCAGGTGCTGCCGGGTCATGTTGGGCTTTCAGGTAAGTCACGTGATCAGTGCAACAGGAATAGCGTCTCCTTATTCTGTCAATATTTCGGGGTTTTTATTTATTGTGGACAAAACTATAGAACTCACACATTTGTAAACTGTTCGCCGTATGTTTGTTGTTTTCACTATATAGGGTGGAGCTACAGTAAAGGCCGCAGAGTTTTGCATTGAATACATAGGATGTTAAATCAAAAAAAATATTAAAGTAGCAGCCTCACACCATTTCATATTGATGGGCAAAAAAAATTTTTTTTTTAAATAATGTTAAGGTTAGGCTAGGTCCACTTGTACAATATTGTTTCAAATGTATCAAAATAAAAAGGAAAAATTCAAAGATCACCTGCAGCAGGACCAAAGTGACTCGGGTTAGTAAAGTGATCCATAAACCTCTTGTTTGTACTGAGCATGTCATCTTACAGATTGCTATCAATGTCTTGGGAATGTCTTGGGAATTGGTACCTGATTATCCCTCTCTTTTCAAACACACACATGCACATCATATATTTACACATTCTTGTTTGATTATTATAACAAAGACGATTGTTGCCAAAAATAAACATTTATTGCTTTACGATGATAAAAATAACGTGTTGCCATACATTTTTGTAGTACCAATATGTAGACAAAATGCTAAGACAAAGGATTTATTTTTAGAGATGAATTTATTTTTTGAGAAATTCATGAGGACATGAACTACGACGCTTCATGCCTTCATATTTCATTGCATGCAGGTGTGAAGCGGTGTAGTTCATATGAACTCATGAATTCTCAAAATCTTATTTTTACATTATTTTTTTGATGACTTGCCACATATTTTTGTCATTCAACGATCTTTTTTGAAGAAAAAAAGTGAACTATTTTTGTTTACTTCAATCACATCACAATGGAAATATTCATACTCCTCTCATGGTATTTCATGAGAACATGAACCTTTTTTATATTATGGAAAAAATATTTGGATAAAAATATATGAAAAATAGTGCGACAGTAAGGCAAAAGTGTAATATTTCAAAACATAATTAAATCAAGACATTTTTCTTTGTCATTTATTATGTATAGCCATGTATATTCTGCATGTCGGTGGAAGTTAATAATAAGAAAATGACATTTTGTAAGAAAATACATATCGCACCACACTGGAAATGATCGTAGTATATATATTGCAATACAGAATTTATAGGTAACAAATATTTAGCCCAAAGATTTACCATCATAGATTTGTTTTGCTAGTGTAACACAGACTAAGAGCATGAAATAGTACAAGACAATATATTTAATATGTATATAAAGATTAATTTAATTTTGGGTGAATTTCAGCGCTATTGGTAACATAGAGGGACAATGGGCAATGATGGGGAAACCTCTGACCAACTTTTCTGTGGAGCAGATTGTGGATTGTGATGGGATGGAGGATGTCCCAAAGTGAGTTACACTCTATAAGTTGTTAACAATGCTTACACCGAGGGCTATAGTTATTTATCAAAAGACAATACTTACTTCTTATTCATTTTATATGCAGTCTTCGTGAATACTTAACCATTTTCTTTGCAGTCTTTCGGTTTACTGCTTATATTTAGACTGATTTAAAAAAAAAAGAAAGCCCATCGTCGATACTTATGATTTTAAAAAACTATCAATTCTTCAGAAGCACAGAGTATTCCACTGTCTACTGTTGATTCACGTGGAACAAAGTATTTAAAAGTGGAAAAGAATTCGGTAGAAGAAAAGAGCTACTAGGGCTAGGAATGAAATCCCATTTATCTACACTTAGTGTTATTTTTGGAGCAGATATCCAATCTTTCTTAGATATGTGAATGTTAGTTAATATAGACCTACAAACTCTTTTCTTAAATTGAATTCCTCTTCTTTTTTTAATATTTTATACCACATAATACTAAGTAGATGATGATATATTACTAAGTGTTTCAGAAAAATTGCAAGATTTAACAATTCCTTAATATAATACGTGGCTACTATAGGTTTTCCATTTTTTAACGCAGTAATTTTAAACATCAGCGGACAATATAGGACGCATATAATATAAATGGGAGGCTATCCATGAAAATTGCATGTATCATTAGAAATCAGAAGAAATGTCATTAAATAAAATAGTAAAGTTAAATTAATCCGTTTTTGTTTAAGATAAATGTATCATAGAAAAATTCTCAATAATTTATGGGAACATTATATTAATTCACTTGCAGATTATATTTTGTACATGTATATCTTATTAACTTATTAGACATCATATTTGTATTAAATTCGGAAATCGCCTAGCAGATAATTAAGAATTTATAGTCATGCTACCTTGACCCGAGCTGTAGGAAGATATGTGTCAGGTTATGTTTGGTCTGATTCTTTATTATCCACGTTAATATAAGAGAAATCTCGTGTCAGGATCCAATGTTGTCCATCTGAATATGTTATTGGTTAACATGGCATTGATAGAAAGGTTTTACGTAAAGCAATCACGCTCCAACGAACGGGTGTGATTTACGGCTTTGATTTTAATTATTTGCGTTTGCGATAGTTTTTATAGGGACATATTAAAAGTTCCAACTTGCAAGGTGCATTTTGTAAATGTGTATGGGTATTTTTTAAATATTTAGTTGTTAACAAGTTTATTGCTTTAAAGAATATATTTTCGAATTGAATTTTGTTGATACACTACACAATATCATTCAAAGTTGGTACAATCGATTCTTTGATAAATGGAATTGTGTTTTTAAATAGTACTGGTAAAAAAATATTGTGCGATATTATGCTTTGAATTGACAAAAGTAATTTTGAAGGTTAAAATCACTTCCAGAAAAATATTAGATTTCGAGAAGAAAGATTTAGAAACTCGTTATTTGAACAATTTGCTAAACACTTATCTGGGTAGCTTATCGGTTAAGTTAAGCAGCAAAAGCCACGAATTGTAATTTAACATTTTATGCTTACCAACAGGATTTGGTAAGTGCTCGTCCAAATGTCCAATTAAGCGAGTTGAAGGTTATATTTTGGCTTTAATAAGCGTTAGTAGTGTAATAAAATCTCCAGCGAATATAGAAGTTGACAGTCGCTATTCTACAATTTAACTGAATGATATATACAGAAATAATATTACATTTTACCTTTGATAAGTTTAAGAAACGCACGTTGGATAATAAAAGTAGAACAATTAGAATAATTTACAAATTATGTTATATAACAATTTATTATCTACAAATTAGGATGCATTTAAAAAAATCAAAGTTGGAATTTGATTCCTCTCTTTGATTTTCCGTAATGAATGCATGCACGGAAGGAATTCTTCAAAATCATGTATCAGTTTTGAATATTCCAAACAAACAAAATGAAGTAGGCTAACCATATCAATATTGTGTTCCGAAAATTCATTAAAATCCGTACAAACAAAGATACTTAACGGGTTTCAGTAATTGTTCTGCCAGGCATCTCTATTTACTCCTCACTGAGATATTAACAGTAGAGAAGGAGAAACTTGAAGAGTACTGTGCAATAATATATTTAAATAGTTGGATATTCCAAGGAATTTTTGGAGCATTGGAATCACAAAATTTTACTGAAATCAACAACATAAACAGCATGAAAACTTTTCAACCTTATATACAACTATTCCCCACGATAAATTAAAGTCCAGGCTCTTTGATAGTGGAGCTTGTAGATTCACTTACCTTGTCATTCTAAAATCACATATTTTCATGGGGTCAAATTTTCGTGGTTTGAGGAAAAAATGTTGGTTCATGGGGATTTGATTTCGTAGATAAAGAACTTATTTGTAGTTGTGCATATGGAAAGGATCACTTCATTACAAATAGGGATTTGACCTATAGGACCGGGCTTGGTTTTTTTCTCTACAAAAAGCTTGTCGATTTCCGTTCCGATTAATGACATTAGGCTGAATACACTTAACAATTTGTTTTTTCCTAAATATTATTTCAGTGAGTAGAGGTAGAAGAAACCCTTTCATTGATTTTCTGAGTTTGTTATCTCTAAATGTAATAATTGATATTTGTCTTTACTTCTCATTATGCATAATGGTAATGTCTACTGTCTCTGAAATTCTATTCTGTATGTCTATGCTATTTATCCGTGGATACCATAAAACACGTCATTAATGTGTGCAAATTATATAGGCCTGAATGAAATCCAAGGGAGTACAGTTACTGATATATGTAGCCAAAATCATTGTGATTAAATTCTAAGGAATATATACAATTGAAATTCGTCGCAGCTCAATACTTCCAAGAATACCTGCATTGAGTAACAGAGTGAGTTATTCTTGTCCTCGGAGAAAGTGTTTCTTCTGAGGTTTGTTCCGCCTGACTGCCAGTGCCAACTGTGCATTTGATTGTTACGATCTGACATCTCTTTAGTTTTTCTTGTAACAAGAATGGGCATACATAAAGGATAGATAATTGAAGGAAAATACACAAGTCTATTAAAAAAAATTAAAATAGTCTTTCAAAAGGCGAAATTTAAAAGTTTAAAAGTGTGGTGCCAGGTGGATTCGAACCCGCGACTTAAAAAAGAAGCATTTCACGGTGTAAAACCAACTCATATATCAATTGAGCTAGTCCGTCTATGAGAATGATTGGTATCATTTGAAGCAGATTTTCAAAATCAGGTTTCCTTATTTTTTTGTAGGTTTTTTGTGAATTATATATGGCATAAAAAAAGATCCTATTTAAATATTTCTTACATCATTACCTATCAAAATATCACAATTTTATTTAGGGGCAGGCCTGCCCTGAAGGACTTTTAGGCCAAAATTCATGCAAAAATTAACGCTTTAACGGACAAAATGGTGTTTCAGCCAACTTTGGAGGTTTATTGTAAAGTTGTAAATGATGAATTTAAGGTTTAAAATACAAATTTGAAAAATTTAGACATATATACAGTAGAAAACAACAAAGAAAGATTAATACTTGAATGCCACTTTTTCCGGGAATTTGTTCTCTCCTATAGGTCAATTCTTTTGTCAAAGCGAATACATCCTTTACATTTCGTGATGGGCATGAATTCATGGGTCACCCCATACCTAAAAAATAACGAAAATTAAACCCCCACGAAAATTAGCAATTCACAGTATTTGCAAATTATTTTGTGAAAAACATTCTGATGGTACACACAAGTACTCTAACGTTGATATTAAAAAGATGCTTGAGTTTCTGATTAACAATATCTATGTAGTTTTTGGAGACCAGGTCTTCCAACAGTCTACTAGTATTGGATATCTTATGATTACCAATTACACACCTTTATAATCAGACCTTTTCTGTATTTATATTAAGTAGAATTTTTCCAAAATCTTAAGTACGTGGAAACAGAAAGCACTCTTTGTGGCCTTCAACTCGACATTTAGATTTATCAATGACGTATTTGTCAATTAACAATGGTTTTTGCCATTCTTATGTCCATACGATATATCCCAGTGAGCTTGAAATGAAAATACTATAGAGAACAGAAACCACAGAAACACATCGGTTTCATATTTAGATATTTTACTTGATAAGATGTGAATGGTAATCTAACAACCAAGCTTTACGACAAAAGAGATGACTAACTTTTAGATCGTCAACTTCCCTTACTTACCTTCATCTCCTGTGTATATACGGGGTTTATATCTCTCAGTTGATTCGATCCGCAAGAGTATGCTCTACGTATGAACAAAGTTTAAAACGAGGTAAGTTTTTGAAAAACAAGTTGCTGAAGGAAGAATATCAGCAGTCTCTTTTAAAGTTATTATCTTGTAAGCTCTATGGTCGACCTATAAATGACCTTGTCAGGAAATACAATTGAATTATCATAAGGCCAAATGCTAACAGACGTTTTTCATACTAGTTGTTAGCCCATTATATGTCGACGGTTTTTTCGTTATTTCCTGATCATGACAAGGAGCACACGGCGGGTGTGACCAGTCGGCAGAGGATGCTCACTCCTCGATGGCACCTGGTCCCACCTTTGATGTTTCGGAGATCCGTGTTTGCTCTGCTCCTATTTTGTACTGCTTAATGGACTTTTGAGATTGATTACTTTGTATTATATGTTATTGTAATAAATAAATAATGACATACATTTTGTCATTTGGACATTAAAGTCAAAGTATGTAAACTCTCATATAAAGATAAATGAGGTGTAAAAGCTGACTTAAATATAACGAGCTGAGTAGCATTCTTTTTGTAAAGATTTTACTTATAAAATTTTTAACAATTTAAGAATAAGAATTTCCTCCATAAAGTGATTTTCAAATTCAAATAATTTAATTTTGTTTGTATTCTCGCCTCTCATTGGTTGATTTCCAAAAAGGAACGCAAAACATTTTGTATAATTGATTTTCAAATTCAATGGAAAATTTAGATTTAATAAATGTACCTTCAACAATTTCATGTAAACAAACATCATAGATCTAATCAGTTAAATCCCCTCGCTTCAAATCACTTCCGTTACTGCGGTTGTATTATTGCGCGGTAAATTTAAACTGATAAAAAGCAACACAATTTTACATCAAAAGTTGTTTAATTATTTTAAAATTAAATTATAAGGAATGACTTTAATTCTTGGCCATATTATCGAGTATAATCTGGTTTGGCTTAGTTTACGCTTTTTTATAATCCGCTTCGCGGATTATAAGGCGTAAACTGACCCAAACCAGATTATACTCGATAATATTATAGTAAGCGGTTTTAATAAAAGCTTAAATGTTTAAAATGTTTAATTTACCCTGGCTAGTTATAGAAGAATATATTTATGTATAAACTAGTATATAACCCATTGTATCAAGTTCGAAATATTCTATAATATTTTAGGGGTGAGGCGGACTGTGGAGTTTTTGGAGGTTGGCCCTTTCTAGCGTATCAGTATGTCATGAAAGCGGTATGTATATTATATAAATATAGCCTTTGATGAGGTTGATCCATAGATATATCGACTTCACAGATATGCTTTTCTGTGAAGTCAATATATCTATGGATTGACCGAATTAAAAGGCTACATTTGTTATATTATTTTTTTTTTACAAAGATTTACTAAATCAACCATAAGTTTCCTCTCTTGTATTTTTTTAACACTGAGAGACTAGAGATCCAAATCAATTAATCTGTTTATTGTAATGTGTGTACCGGTGGGGTAATTTAGGGGATTTCCTTTTTAAAAGGTTAATTTGTCTAATTAAGTTTTGTATCGATTTTTGAAAAACATATCTATTTTGTTTTAACATAAAGTAGATTCTTCTTCAAGGCATCGTAATGTCTTACTTATTATTACAGAACATTGCAATTATAATAAAGAGTTGAAGTACAATCTTTTTTTTTTTTTTTTTAGAAAAATCAAGTCATACTCTGTCTAAGCTAGTTTGAATTCAGCACAAATGTTGTTTTACAGAAAATTATATCCTTTTTTAAAAGCATTAAGTCGATATGCATTTTAGAATCTATAAATAGTAACTCAAGTCTATACATGTATGCTGTTATATAATTGATCATGTGATCAAGTTTGAGCGAATCAGAGAGCTTGGAATATATGAGAAAAATAATATTTGAATTTAATTGTCATTGGGTTTATCTTAGATATGACCTTTATAAATGAACGTTTTGTTTAAATACCTCTTGTCAGTTTTAATCCTAGGCACCTATATTTTTGTCCCCCGCTTGAAAAGTTATTAACAGCTGTCTGTAACGCTTTCGTTTGAACCCTTTGAGCTTTTGCAATGAAATTTAGCACACAACTCCCTATGGACTCTATTGATTTTGAGGTCAAAAGGTCAAAGGTCAAGGTTATAAATAAGCAAATTCTGTCTGTTATAACACTTTCGTTTCCACAATATCTCGAGAACCCTTTGAGCTATTGCAATGAAATTTTACATAACAACTTGTGGCCTAGGGAAAATATTTTGAGGTCAAAAGGTCAAAGTTCAAGGTCGTAAATTTATTCATTCTGTGTGTGTGTAACATAATATTTCAAGAAGATTTTGCTTATGCAATTTCATACAAATTCTAGGACCTCTCGATATATTAGTATTTATTGTATTACATGTCGCTATTTTTAGCACAGGGGCATGCGGAGAGTTATTTCGCATAAAACAGGTTCTCGGCGGCTTATAACATCTATTAGAACTGTTTAATAAAGGCTAAATAAATCAAACACCATGGATTGTATAAAATTTTGACAATATCGAGCATGAATATATACAGGTATGTGACTTCACTTCTGCATATACGCGACAACATTTAAAGCGATGGTCTAGTGGTATGTCTCCCGTTTCATAAGTGAGAGGTCCTAGGCATCCTGTTTTTTTTTTTAATTTTCTTTTTTTTTTAATGATAGTATTCAGCATGTGAACAGAAAAATTTAAGGTTATAAAATCATTATTACAGTGTGATAAATATTCCATATAAAAAGAATTTCACACACAATCTAATCTTTATACGCATATTGACATAAATGTATTTTATTTGCATAAGTATACATGTATACATTTAATAATTCTACTAATTCAGTCAGGGGGATCCGACTTTTTCCCTAAGCGGGGGACACGAATTCTCTGAATTAGCTTGTTTATCCTTCCTTCATATGCTGATCCGTGTGGATGAAAGCTATTTTTCTGCATCAACAAATTTACTTTTCCTTGACCTTGACATCACATTTCAAAACAAGTTTCAAAAATGTGTTTAGCAGGTTTCAAACAAAATTTCAAGATATTGTTTATTTAACCACATTTGCTGATGCAAATTGTTGCTTGTTAGAACTATAGGTTTCATAGGTGTCTTCCTTATTACAAGACCTTTAATTGTGTACCAATATATTTGAGCTCTTGGTGTTACAGTTTGACCCACTTCAGCAACATTTAACAAACTTAAACACCTTAGCCATAACATTTGAACGATATATATTTCTTATAATAAGACTTTTACTTGGGTTTAAGTATGTTTCGCCTTTACCTTGGAGTTTGACCTACTTGAAAAATACTTTAATCTTGGCTAAACTTTTGAACATTGAGAGCTAGGACTTTCATATTTTTTTCTGATACAGATTGATGAGACCTATATAAGTTGATCAGTTTTGTCAAGAAATTTATCAAACTTCATTTGCTGATACTTTTTAGAAAGTTTCTTTGAACAATCTATTGTTTGGCTTTGACTTTTCTATTGACCTAGCCCTTATCTTCTAAATTATTCATATAGCTCAGTTTCAAAGAAACTGATGAAGATACCGGGTAATTTTCTGAAAATTCGTATGCTTTTAAATATAGTTCAAAGCTTTTATAGTGAAACAACATTTTAACTTTGATTTTTCACTGTGACTTTACTTTTCTCAAATGTGTACTAAGTTCACTTTTAAAAAATCAAGGTATGTTATCAAATCTCATTTATGTATGTTTTTAGTGTATCAATCCTTGACCCTGGTTAGACCACTTGTCTTTTATTTACAAGTTTCAAGAGATTTGATGTTCATTTTAGTGAAATTTTTTATATGTTCAGTTTCATTTTAATTGGACCTTTCGAATGGCCATTGACTACACTTTTTCTTGTCTATATAACACAGCTAAAAAAGCAATTTAAGATACAATCTTCACACACTAATGCAAATATCGTGTTACATGAGTATTGAACCTTTGACAGGATAGTCGTATCCTATTGACAAATTTCTTGTTCGTTTTAATTTTTCCTAGGGTAATTAATCAATAGGTGTATGTCGTTTTAAATTTGGTAAGAGATTTGTGATGACCTGCAGTAAAAGTTCTTACAGATAGGCCAATTTTAATTACTTCCGATCCAACGCAAGAAATGCCCGATTAAAACTCAACACGGCTTTTTCAGTTGTAGATATTAGACAATTTTCAGTTGTAGATATATATGAGAGTTTTAATATTTTATATTTAGGGAGGTTTGGAAACCTGGGAAGATTACTGGTATTGTTCCGGTCTAGGTGGCGCTCCAGGCACATGTGAGGTTTGCCCCGCCCCTGGCTACAACACAACACTCTGTGGCCCACCCATACCCTACTGTAATATGAGTCAAAGCTGTGTCACAAAATTAGACGTCAGCAAGTTCCACCCAGGCTTAAAAGTAATGTCCTGGAAAGCTATTGATGAGGTAATGTTCAAACAAAATGAAATTTTGTAGAGGCTTTTCTTATGCAAAATAATTCAAAATGTACACTCATATTTTTTTAAAGAGTGAAATTTCGAAAGTTAAATTATAAAAAAAAATTTGATAAAACAAAAGAGTAAATAAAACAGACAATAAATAAATAAAAAATTTAAAAAATCTTATGTGTGAACATAAAAAATTACATTTATGTGAACAATTTTTTTTTTATAAAGTTAAATGATATTTTCAATAGCTGTCAGTTAAAAGAGACTATAGAAGGGTAAAATGGAATAATCAATTATATTGCAGAATGAGACATCAATTGCTGAGCAGCTCATAAAGCTGGGACCATTGTCTGTGGCCCTTAATGCTGAGCTTCTTCAGTTTTACCATCATGGAATCTTTGATCCGCCATCCTTTGTCTGTAACCCAAAAAGTTTGGATCATGGTAGGATTTTCTTGCCTCTGTAATTCAAAAAAGGGTTCATTTTATTGAACTGCAAAATTTGAAATAATATTGAAAATAAAATAAATCCAATTGCACTAAAATCTTAACTACACTTGGTTAAAAATGGTATTTTCTTTCCAGCTGTGTTGCTGGTGGGTTTCGGAACAGAAAAATCTATTTTTGGAACCAAAGACTATTGGAAAATCAAAAACTCGTGGGGTCCTAAGTGGGGTGAGAAGGGTTACTTCCGAATGCTACGTGGACAAGGGAAATGTGGAATAAATACTGCAGTGACCACCGCCGTATTGGATCAAAATTAGCCATCTCGTGTTATCGCTCTTGCTCAAAATACATTTCGCTATATGATAATTGTGCCATGATGTAACTTTGTTCAGAAATAGTTTTGTAGCAGATAGAAATAGTAACTGGCAGATGTGTATGTGTATTAAATTGAAAAATATATTTTAATATAAAGTGTAAAAATTCAGGATACTTATTCCTTTTTGCAAATGAAGAAACGTTAAACTGTACCTTGTGTATATACTTGTATTATGTATTATTGGGGACAACGTGCTTTTAACAGAAATAAGTGTCTCAGGAATTAAAACAGTCTTTAATAAATATATTTCTAAAACATACTAACTATATGGAAAGTCATTCATGTTGAGTTTAACCAATGATATAGTTTTACAAATTTCTGTTTATAATAAACTTGTTTGTACATGTACTAGTCTAGTATATTGGTTTACTTCCTGATTCCGCTAAAACTGTTGATAAAGTCGGTTGATTGCACAAGAGTCCGCATATCTTTCAATTTTACTGAAATTTATGATAAAAAATATGTAATATCTTTAATAATTACAAAATTATTTTTATGACTCTTTGTTAAACTGATAAGTATGAGAAATTTTTGGAAGGTTAATTTCTGTCTCTCGTGTTATCCTTAGAAACAGGATTTGAGTTCTTCAAATAAGATTATGTAAATTGCAAAAGGTTAGAGATAAATCCAGGATTAACAAATCGTGAATATGGTACACATACCCAATTAAACACCAGAGATGGGATCAGAAGCTTTGTTTCCTCTTCTTAGCATTCCCTGTCAACTGGCCACACCAGCCATGAGCCTATGTATTGATCAAGTAGATTCTGTCTAGAACAAGAACTCTCACTGATCGATGACGATAAGAGCCGAGCACAGTGCTAAAGACTTTGTCGTCTTCGATCTTTCAGGTAAATTTTGAATATACCGGTTACAGTAAATTTGAAAATTTACAACAAGTCACATTGGTAACTGCTGGTGCCCTTCTCGTAGGGCGTAGGGCATACATTCAAATAAACAAACTCAGGATTGTTTTAGCTGTTCTGTATCTGTCGAATGCAAAACATTCATTTTATTTTACAACTTACGGACGTGTGGAATGACGAGTAGAATTTTTTTGATCATTCCCATCCGTGCAGAGATCTCAGTTGTGAGTTCATACTAAGTACAGTATAGAGAATAATTTATATAGTTACACTGATGTACTCCAAACGTATATCATTTAACGCAACTAGTAATTCTTGAATCCTAAAGTATTTTATTTGTTTCGTCTAAAAAGAATGGGTGAACTTTGTTTTAAAAAGTAAATATTGTCATATAATAAAAGTCATGTAATGTAACATGAGTTTAAAGTTATGTTTCTAACATAAAGAACACCCAAAACACAGTATTGCAAGCAATGAAAGTGTCAAAGGTTTATTAAAATATATTTTTTGATTTTAATTTTCAATGATATTTTGAGAACAAGTTATATGAGGAGAGTTATCTTTCTTTGGTCTACATGATAAGAATCTTTATCTTGTGTGAAGACAAAGGTCATCTCCAAAATAAGGTACATTAGATATTGACAGCAGTCATGGTTTCAAGGAAATTTATTGTTTTGGTAGGGTAAGGAATTTTTTTGCACACCAAAAGATCTAGAAATTGTTTGTCAGAAAGCTAGATATGAAAAAATGCATTGGCTTGGTAGATGTAATATAGCGTGTATAGTGTTCACTTTGATGGTAATTATTGCAATTCATATTGACTCGATAACTCCCAGTAAAACGAAATTATAAAAGACAGTTACTTAGAAGCATGTTTCACTGACTATAGACGACAACGTCAAACTAACAACTAGATTGTATGATAAATGAGAAGACTTCAGCAATAGGTAGATTTCTCAACGTGTCTTATTCAATAATCAACGATTTTGATTATAGTCTTTGAGTCCATGGGCAATCTTGAATAAAATTGTTAATATCATTTTCTCTGAACAATAAACAATTTATCCAGGGCTAACAATGGACTCTTTGAAAATTGGAAATGGAAAAAAGTTCGTTGTCTTAACTCAAAACGGTTGAAGCACGTTACTTATCTGGTAATTTTTTTTCAGCTTCATTGATTACATACCAGAATGACGATCCGGGATCATTTTTCTTGTTTTTCAGATCGGTTCTTTTCCAAAAATAATGAGGTTTCATGTGTTTATTTTTCCTTCAGTTACTGTCACCAATTTTCCTTTTCAAAAGTGTTCCTTGCGTTTTTTCTGAACATGTGTCCATTTCTAATTCATCCTTTGTACTTCACAACGAATATATTACTCTTTCCTGATTTTTTCGCATATTCTTTCAGTTGTTAGTAGACATACTTTCTACAAAACAATCTTTAATTAATTTTTTTTGTTATTTTAGATTTATACTTATTTCTAATTGTTTTGGAAAATCAAATAAAGACACACACAGACTTGAACATGAAGCACGACTTGCAGACAAAATGGTGGTTAACCATGGCGAGCTCCTCCAAACGAACCAGGGATTTCGAGATCTGACGCAAGCTGGCCTTCCTCAAAAGAGAGGTAATATTTTCTTTAATTAATGCATCATTGTTGGTTGATTTTTTTAAAGAACGATTTGGAAATTCACAGGTAGCCTTGATAACTTAAAAGAATGAAAATCGTCAAGACTCGGTGAGTTTTTAGGATGAAATATATGTATATCTAATTAAACAGTTGTGGGCGTGATATCTGCGGTAACTGCTTCCTTTAGCGTCTTGAAGGGGATTGCAGACAACGTCGATTTTTCCCGGGTATGTGTCATTGGACTAAAGAACCTTGGTAACCGGAAACTCGTGAACCCCACTTGGTATTTGTCTCACGGCGTGATTCGTCAGCCTCTTCCTCGATATTTACCGGCTGGTGATGCAGGAATTTTCACTTTTGAGAAAACAAGCTGTAAGTGAAATTTTTTGTACGGTTGTTGCCAAGCCTTGGTAATGTAAGTGGATATTTTTTTAGTTAAATCAGTATTCGTATGCGCCTAGATGCCACGGCGGGTACTTCTGGAGTTCTTACATACACCATTTCCGGAACAAACCACCAAGTAGCTGTTTTCTGGAGTGTTCCGTTTTTCTTTGGAATCAATTCAAACGAACTTCATGTCCAGGTAAGAATAAGAGTTTTTAGTTGGAAAATATGCATGATTCAGATAAAACTGTGATTTTAACTATTAAAACAATAGTAATGGAATTATACTAGTTTTTGCATCATGTGATGACGGAATTATATATCAATCGACAAGGTTTGGTAGGAGCAAACTATGTCATGCCAAGAAATCTCGTCCGGTTTACGCACTGATGAAGTCAATAAAAGTGTAATTGATGCAAATCACCCATATTCCCCAAACACTAGCGAGACAATTTACGGCAGCAGATTTTGATTTTAGGGGGGGGGATTATAGGTTTTCAGCTTTCTTTGTTAAAGAAAAATAAACTTGATATATTCCACCATTTATTTCTATCAGTGATATTTTTACATTAAAATAAAAAAAAATATTAACATAGCCAATCAGGTTGCGTCACACCGGTAATTGTTTTCACTATAAAATTCCATATAGAATAAAAAGTCGTAAAAAAAACTGGTATTTGTTTACTTAAAAAAATATCTAGCAGGAGGTGTTAAACATTACCTGTGACACTTTCACACACAAAACAGTACCTACACGGCATTTTCTGACTTTTTCCATCTGCAAACAGGGCTACCCTCAAATCCACGTGTTTTCAATGTGTTTATAAACATTCCGAGTGTACCGCAGGAAGTAGCCTCCTATTCCCGGGAAACAAATAGTTCCTGTCAAAAACCTTTATTTGTTCAAAAAGTACATAAAATTTACTAGGCACAGGTACCAAAGTTTTAAAAATGGCTTGGAAAAAAATAGAAAAATGTCTCAAATAAAATCAATTTTATATGTATGGACCTACATTTGACTAAGTTCATTTTGATTGGTCAATTACCGGTGTGATATCTCTACCAATTTAGTACTCCTCTCCCCTCTTGTTTAACCAGGAAATGATGTCAACTTCCGGGAATCTGGTACCCTTTTCCCCATAATTCGACGCGCGGTACTTCCACAACTACCAAGTTCATCGTACCCGACGTTAATTTATGCTCAGGAAAAAAAAAACTATATGGAAATACGTTAAAAAAAAATTGAAAGACAGCTTATTTCTACTGACGAATTAGTTTACTATAATTAATAATTTTTAACTTTCTTTTTCTTTAACTTTCTTTTTTTTTTTTTTTTTTTTTTTTTTTACAGTATTTGAAAAATATGAACCCCCCCCCCCCCAAAAAAAAAGAAGGAGTGCAAAGGCTTCTAAATAATTAATTATGTACCTATGTTTTAAACCCAGTAAAACTTAAGATCCCTCCCTCAAAACTGTTGACATTAATCGTCTCGCCAACATCTCTCGGCGGAGTTTCACAGATTAACGTTAATTCGGCTTTTATTGAGTTCGCTCTCCGGACAGACTGTTAAGGTTTTCTTGGCATGCTCACCTGTCTGATATTAAAATTAAAAAAAAAAACAGTAACTATTATATGTAGAATTCTGAATGAATTTTCATTTGGAAGTTTAAATTGTGAATTGGCATTCAATTTGACTAAAAAAGTTAATTGTCTATAATTTTGGTAGACATTTTAGATTATACTTACTAGTATGGATGAGCCGAACTCATAATAGTCTTAGAATGATAATCTTAAGATGTAGAAAAATTATCCGATAAACGTGCAAAACAGGTTTTATTTTGAAAAAGGAAGATTTAACATAATAGATTATATTTGTACGATTTTCTAGGTTTGGACAAATGCTCATGCAAATGAAGCTTTATTTAAAAGCATGGAAGCAGATGAAGAAAAGCTGACTGTCTGGAATTCTGGACATTGGTTGTCGGCAAGTGGGTACGGAATCACGGTGAATGCCGCCATGACGAACTCCGCTAAAGCCTCACTTCTAGTAGAGGTGGAGTTCAACATCACGAATGCGGAGCCGGAAATATTTGGTTGATCTGATTTATTTCTGGTTTAGAAATTAAACTGTGTTGGCTTCGTTTTCATTAGATAATGTATAATTATGATTTGGCAAGAATGCAGATAAAATAATTCTTATAAAACAAAGAGTACATGTAAAATAAATACGATATGTTGGAACGTCTGACGGGAAAATAATGTATTCCGTCGTAGTGGACCTGTTCTAGGTTTTCTATATGGAAAATTCTTTTTGTCCTAGGGGAAGGAGTCTTTTGTTGTGATCATCTATTTGTTATTTGTATATATTGACGGTCATTTTTATCTGTTTGGCGAATTGATATATCGTAGTAAAGTCAAAAGAAGGACACCACATAATCTGTGACATTGATTCACATTTGGATTTTTTATAGACATAACAGGTCAACTTACAAGTAAAGTGTTTGATAATCTAATTTGATCGTCAGCTCCTCATATATAACCACTACTCTACCATTATTACCAGCATGTGCAGTTTATATCTATTCAGTAAGCAAGAACATATTCTAGGTGCAATCAATTCCCTAAACTAAGAAAGGCTACTGAGAAACAAAATAAATTAACAGGACTCTCCTCCATCTATCTTAAAGTCACAATTTTGGATATTTTGTAGTAGACAAATGCAACCTATCGTTTTGTCATCATTTTAGTGACGTTCAAAAGAATTGAAAGGTCATTGATTTTACACATACTTTGAATACAAATATGACTTAAATTTTTATTCAAATCAGAAGACCCACGTGAGATTTAGACAAATGATATGTTTACTCCTCCAAGCACTTGATCCGCCCATCCTTTTGTTTGTTAGGAAGGAAGATGTATGCCTTTTAAAACGATTTTTCGTTTATTAAATTATAAGAGAAACCATCTATGAAAAAAAAAATCAAAAAGCAAATTTCAAAAGTTTTGTAATAATTTATTTAACTTAACTAAAAATAAACTTAAAGTGCACCTAGTTATATACATTTGTTTGAAAATAGCATACAGAAAATGCTGAACAATATTAAAACACAACAAATAATGCACACACTTTACACAGACAGGAAGTTTTGTACCTATCACGTCATCTCCTGTCACGTGATCATCACGAAAAGTCAAAAATGCAGATTGGATTTCTCTGTAAGAATTAAAAACAACTCTGTAAAGAGAAAAGAATGCAGTCTTAGTATAATCTCTTGGTTATAAAAATCTCTCTTAAATACCAAAACTAAAATTTAGGACAGATAAAAGCAATTGAAAAATAAATGATCGGAACCCAAAATAAAAACGTAATTTGAATGATGCAGCAACTTGTGTGGTTTCAACACTTATAATGCGTTTTAGAAAATGAATATACTTACGAGGCTTATGGTCCGGGGCATAGTCCACATCTGACGGGACAATCTCTGGGAACGTTATCGTACTTTTCGCAGTAATATTTCGGCCAGGCTTCACAATGACTTTCGTCTGGGTTACTGCAATCAACTGTGGCGAAAAATAACAATTATATGTCAACTTCACAAAAATTAGCTTAATTGTCGTCTGTAACGTAAAAATACTTACAAATATAAAAAAAAAAGAAGATTATGTAAAAATGCAATGCACTTAATTTGGAGTCTTGTTAAAGATTGGGATACCTTTTTCACACATATCGCCGATATATGGACGTTCACATCGGCAGGTACATGTATTAACATCTAATGTTCCCCCATTCTGGCATTCCTTTCCATTGCATGGATCTATAAAAGAGAGAAAGACGCCGTGCAGTGAAATCCTTGGATAAATAAAAAATATATGCAAGGGTGCTCTTCTTCATACATTTGGGTCATAAGCCATTCGTGTAGAATAAAGATTTGTATAAAGTCCTTTCTAGAGGCCTTCACCATGAACGAAAATACCTTCTTTTATTCTACTGAATGGTATAGCTAAATTACATTATTTTGATTTAAACAAAACACAACCTCTTCGTCACGTTTATACATGATGTTTAAATGCATGTATGTTGTGACCTAGAATACATTTAGTAATAAGCATGAATTTTCCCTTTAACCTTTTCAGTAAGAGTTGCATCATAGTTAAGCATAATACATACTGAAAAGAATATTTACGATTTTAATTTATCCCAAAACCATAACTCAAAGAGCACAAAGAATCATAAATACTCACGGTCACATAATCCGCACATGATGGGGCACATTTCCCTTTTAACGTTGGAAAATCGGTTACAATCAGCACATGTTAGAGTGCCATTTTTAGAACCACACTGCATGATGTCCAGCCCGCGGTCCCCATAGGCTTGACACTCCTCTGATAAAAAAAAATCATTTATTATTCTAAATTACATTATAATCCTATTTTACATGAATGAATTGATTCTTAAATTAATTTTTTACTAATGTTCAGAACCGTTAACTATAAATTTTTATCAATTTATTTTTCTTTATCAATAAATTTGCACAAGTACATTCAGAACATTGGTTGTATCATGCCTTTTTAAAAAAAAAAAGGAGAAGGGGATACTCACGACGACTGGATCGTTTGCCGCCGTATTTGCACCCGAACGCAGACACAAATGGAGGTTTTGGTTTTTCACTCTCGGCAGCCATAGCATCTATAGCATCTATAAAATGTATATTAAAAAGATAATATTACATGTACTTGATTTTACTAATGTAATTGAGTCTAGGGATTTATTTTGTCTTTTGAACTTTGACTGAAAAAAGCTCATGTTCGTAGACAATTTTTTCAAGTTGTCTATATATACGTATATGCACACCATTTGTGTTGCCACATTTGCCACACATGTAGGGACAGTCGAAGGGGACATTGACAAATTTTCCACAGTAAGACGGGGTCCAGTCTCTACCACACACCCACTTATCCTCGGCAGGACAATCCACTGAAATGGGACGGCGTAGAAATAAGTTTTACCAACATGTATATATCGATCAAGAGTGTCGTATATATAATTCAAATGACGTAAAAATGTCACTTACATTGCTCACAAGTAGGTCCTTTGTACAACTTCTGACATTCGCATTGACAGGTTTCAATATTGAGGGTACCACCATTGTAACAAACTTTACCACCGCAATCTAAAATGTAAAAATAGCCAATGATTGTTCATATTAAAATACACAATTTTTCTTATTTTATTGTGTAAAGTAAATTAACAAACGAACAACTAAAAGTCACTTACCACATTGTCCATTCCTGCAAAAATTCGGACATTTGCTACATCTTCTGCCGGTGGTGTAGGGTGAAGCCAAATTAGATTGTCTATACAAAAAAAGGTATAATTGCATTTATTCAAATAGCGAAAAAATAGAGGAAAATAGAGGTCCATTAGCACAAAAAGACTTAATTGTTCAATTTAAGGATATTAAGTATACATATCTTACTTTCCATGTTATTTTTTCCAGGAAATTACAAGTTTTAAATCCTATTTCCATCAAATATTATACAAAAAATCAGCATATATTACCAGAGTTTTCAAAAGATATCAAAATGAAGAAAACTATTGCTATTTTCTTTGGTAAAAATATCAAAAAACTACGAAACTTATAATGAAAGCTAAAATTTCATCAAAGCTTGGTTTATTGAGGAAGTATAAAGCTTCATAAAACTTAATGAAACTCTTTCAATTACAGAAAATGAGAACGTTTGATGCGTTCGACAGGAATAGAAATGTTTGAAACTTACCCAGCTGCATAGTCACAGACATAGTATCGTGTAAAAGTTGTTCTGTCACACACAGCAAATCCACAACCTACTAGGTAGGTACCGTTCTGGGCCATCTACAATAAAAGTGTTGGAATATTATATATGAGGTTGATCCTTTTAGAACATTTGGTTAAGGATCTCCATCCGTAATAAGCAACATTCTGTTTAAATTCATTTTTTATAAAAATTAAGTCGCTATCAGATTAATTAAGGTAGTAAGTTTTTTTTCATAATGTACGGTAATCATAATGAACTGCATGATAAAATAGTGGTAAAGTTAATGAAACAAGGCAACGAGGTTATAATAATGTGAACAACCTCTTGATATTATAATTATTTGATTGTGCATATATATCTAAAACAGTTACTATTGTAAGCCTTTTAGGTTTCAGATTTGTAAAACTCTTTCATGATTTAATATTTATCTTTTACTAGCATATATCTTCATTATAATTAAATTTTAGTTTCATTAGAAGAGTTAAGTCTATTGAATACAGAGCTATAATTTAGACTATTATATTACTCCATAAGGCATGCATTCAATCATTTAAGAATGGTATCGATTGATTGATTCCATGCCATCTGTGGTGTTCCTTTGTATTCAAATTTTACTATTTACGAGAAAGAAATTAATTGCTATTAACCTGTGTAAAATGTCCAATTTTCTTCCAGCCCCCTGGGCCCAGGTAGGAGTCTGGTTCCACGCCGTAGGTCCACATGTCGATTTCATCCCACCACATCTGTACCGCCTGCTCCCACGTGCGGTAACCCCCGGCAACATTCTGTCCAATCGACATCCCGATAGCTGCCAAAAAGTGAAAGTATTTTCAAACTTTGAGACAAGGTAGGAGTAAATTAACATCTATTTACCTTAGAACATTGATGAATTGTCAATCGGAAAATTACAGCATTTGTTAAGTGCATAATATCTGTCAATTTTCACGCAAGTGGGAAACAGAAATCGATATGATTTATCATGTTCAAACGATCAGAATAAATCACAATAAATCAATTATTTTAAATCCTTTGAAGAAAATAACCAGCTGTAAGTTGTAAAAGGTAAATGCAATTAATTTCTCTCAAGAAAGATTGAATACTTACAAGGAATGCTTCTTTGCCTGTCATGACCTGCTTCGCACTGATTGGCCCATTTCTGAGCAACGGCAGCAAGTCTCTCGTCCCATTTCTACAAGAAGAAGAAAATATTTTTGCAAAGTTAAAATCAAAGTAAACATCTTTTTTATGATTTTCTTTTTTTTTTCTTTTTAGCATACAAAGTCTAACTACAATGTTGATAATAAAAAAGAAGTATCTGTAATTATTCAAAAGATGTAAGAAATGATGATCAGGTAATTTAGCGTCTCATGTCACTGATGGTTTTATGTTTAGGTACAACGTTCCTTGTGGACGAAAATGTACAAAAAAGGAACGATGATCAGCGAATAACTGACGCCCGGTCACCGCCTACACTAATTATACAGGTTGTATAACCAAAACAGGTAAGATGACCATAGAAGAAATAGTCCGAATTATGACGACCAAGACATATAAGGTAAAGCATGAACTGACGGTGATTCAAGCGTTAATGACGATACTTTGTATTTTACACACGACACAGCCAGGAAACATTCAATAAAATAAGTGTCATAACAATACTTCATCATCAATCCACATAATTATGATTTAGTCTTTCTGTTAATTATTTGATAATTATTGTTAATGGGTAGTGGTGCCAAAAATTATTATTGAAGGCACTTTTTTAAAATTATACAATGATTCATTCTTCCTTTGAGCTCCAATTCCAATTTTCAGTCATAAAAATTTTTGAATTTGCATCTGATAAAATTCTTGCACACATTTTCAAAGAGACATAATCCAGATGCTTAAGCTTTTTAAACAAATTAATTTTTTGTAGCCTATGCATGTTTGCAAATAAATGTTTGGTTAATGGTATATACTCTATTAAGACCTACCAGTTCTACCAAATCCATGGCAGGTGGCTGGACTGTGGCCCTCAGCCTGTTGTGCTGGTCAAGAATAGCTTGCTTCGTTGCCTCAGTGATACCCTGTTTGCTAACATTTGGTTTGTCTGTCATACAGAGGGTGTGTCCTCTAAGTTTTTGGTATTCCTTTGTGCATGTTGCTGACTGCAACAATTAACAATGGAAAAATGTATTTAGTAAGTAATAAGCACAATATTTATTTTATAAAAGCTTTCTTATTAAAGATTGTAACAAATTTTGATGATTTACCAGAGGTTTAATGTCACTAGGTGGTTGTGGTTTTGCTGGTCTGGGGTTGTACTGGTCGTTTGGCCCCTCAGGGGGTACGGGAGGTCCGTTGGAAGGAACAATTGGCGTGTAACCCGGGCGGGGAATACTGGGTCTCCGAGACGGATGCGGTCCTCCATAAATGATTTGTTTAAAGCTCGGTGCATTTGGAATATTATTAAGAAGTTCTCTAAATAACTGACCGAAATCTGCAGAAAGAATAGAAGTCGTTTGAAAATTATTATTCGTAATGTCTGTAAATGAAAGCACGCCAGACATAGAGGCAGACATGAAAGATTATTTGTCATATCTTTTACGAGTTAATGCTTATAATATATTCGTATTCATGGAATTCATTGAGAAGCAGAAGACTCAATTACACAAAAATCCTTCTGATTTTATCTAAGTAAATAAGTTGTTCCGACGTGATTTTTAATTCACATCAAGCTTACATGAATTCCTCGCAAATCCCACTAAAATCCTATGATAAAGATTGTTTTGAAGTAGTCAAATGTAATATTTAAAGATGATTTTTTTATGTCGCACAGAGATATGGATATAGTTTTATCTAAATAGAAGAAACAGTATGTAATACCTGCAAATGAATCGAGAGAGGAATTTTATGAGGTTATAGGTAATCATTAATCATAAGTCGTAGTTTGTACTTAATGGATTTTTATAATACCGAAGGTCCATTAAAATGTTCCAATACATTACAGATAATAGAACATTCAATGGTCATTAAGTGGTCTGTTTCTCACCTTTAGGTAAAGGTTAATGAATTGTGACGAAATAATTGAGCTCAGACATTCCTGACCATATGAAGCTCGTTACGTCTCTAAATGTACTTAAGCACCTTCCACAACACAATTTCTATTGCCACTAGCGTAGTTCTTACTGTATTTCTTTAATAAAGGCATTATGTAATAATTGTTTTTTTTTTAATTTTCAATGTATCTTTTCCAAGATTAACTTATATTTCTTTTTGCTAGCACGTCTTCTCCGTAAACCACAAATTGCTGACTAATACATAACTAAACATATTTCCTATGTAAATATATACACCGTTTTTATTTTGTTATGCTGTCATAAGGATTAATGTACGGCTTGTGGTTTTCATGCAAAGAATTAGGTCCAGCATTAACAATCCTGCACCAGACATTTTCACACGTATTAATTTGGTTACTAAACTACAAACACTCAATAAACTTATGGTAGTACTTATATAAATGTAGCTTCGCAAATCGTAATAAAAGATTAAAATTTACAAACTTGTCACATTGTTATAAACTATATATTAAAGAATGAAGAGAAAACATGAGCATGTCAAACTTGATGAAATAAATGACCAAGAACGTTTTCTTTTAAAATGTTCTACATAGAATTCCTATACAATTTTGTTTGATTTCCGTTAAGTATATGGCATTCATTAATGTATGGTAAAAAAGTTTGTACGGTATATATACCAAAAGAAAATAGTATCATAAAGAGCAAGAGCCACTTTGAGCCATATTTGGCCCTGAGAATTTCTGAAAAATCAAAACCGTTCAGTTTAGGTTGCCAATGCAGTATTTATCACTTGGAGAGTTGGTGACCACGTATCTATTAATCATGACGTAATTTTCACTCTTGTCAATGCATTATGACGTCATAAAATGCGTCATTTTCTTTATATCTGTAACTTTCTTAGAAAATGGCCTAAAGTTGAAGTATTTTTTCAATATTTCATCTAGAGCACAACCTCTGATCGAAAATATGCAAATTAGGGATGTCAACGAATATTCGAATATTCGAATATTCAATCGATGAGTTGATATTCGAATATGAATTTATGATTCGAATATTCGTGTTTTAAGTATACAAGCATTAAAAAGAGAGAAAATACCTGGCAAGTTTTATTAGAAATTGAATCAAGTTTGTACAAAATTTAAAAAAAAAAAACACTCCCCTTGGATTACCTTAAAGGTGTGAAGAGTGTATCTATTAGAGTAATTTATTTATTTGTTTACTTAATTAGTTGTATGATAGTGTCAACTACTTACAATCAGCTTGTGTTGTTGTAAGGACACAGTTTAACAGTAAACACATGGATCCCTTGTTTATGTAAATATCATTAGAAATCATTATCAGGAATTCATACTTAGCAAAAAGTAATTGCTTTTTATATTTCACCGTTAGATAATTGTTCTGCTTGGTATAAATTTGTAGGACTTACATGTAGTACAATACATTTTATACCAATCTCTACATGAGTTTTTATTCCAAAATAATGGCATAAAACCTATACTTCTTGACAGGAGAGTGAAGATATATATTTAATAATGCAAAATGTATTTATTTTATCGAATATTCGAATATATTCGAATACTCCTATCGAATATTCGAATATCAATTATTGACAATTTTGACATCCCTAATGCAAATACATAATGAAAGATCTGTTTCTGAAGATAAAAAAATGTTTTATTTTTGGGATTATGGGCTGTGCTCAAATTTTAATTCTTTGTTGAAGGTAGTCAAATAAGCATGTTTTCTGCAAATTTCAAGAACATTGCAATTTCTCAAAGCCTATTTTTCCAATATCTGGATTCTCAGAAAGAAATTTTATTACAGGAAATGAAAGCTCAAAGTGTCTACTTTATAATGAATATATATATATGAAATGGGAAAGAGGGTGATAGTTAATTAATTGATATAAGTACAGGGCCATTTTATGCATAAAATGAACCTAGCTCTTTAATTATTTAATAAATATTTTGTTGGTAACAAAGGACAAATTGTATTTTTAAATCTTGAATTGGTCAATTAATCCAAATAGTTGATGATAATAAAAGGTTTGGTTCTGTAAGAAATGATTCATTCCTAATATTTATGATAATTTATAATCTTGTGCAATGTAATTATTTTATATATATATATAGTGCTATTATAGTGTTAATTTAGGTTAGTAGTCCACGTCAAATACATAAGTTTAAGAGTTACAAAAACATAATTATAAAATATTTACCAAAGAATCTTCCTAGAGTGTAAATGGAAAACAATGGCATGAAACAGAACTGTCATTACAAAATTAAATTATCATGTAATCTTATGATTTTATTAACTTAACGGCTAAAAAAGAAGACTTTTTTATGGACTAGGGTCATATTTACGTTTTAAAAATACTTCAAAAGTTAAAAAATAATCTTACCCCCACCACCTCCTCCGTTAGGGCCTGTGGTCCATGTTCTGGTCCAGGTAATTTGGGCAGAAACAAGATGAAGTGTCAAAAAAAGTAACACGGTCAGAGAAACAGTCTTCATTGTAGATAGGATTGTGTCGTCTTGTAGGATTATGACATATTTACAAGGCGATGCACGCTTATTTATAAGTATCCAGCCATGCGAATCGATGACGAACAGGAGCGAGGAATTGGACTTCTAGAACCGACCATTGGGGGAACAAATTGGGCGTATTGATTATATGCTAATTATAAGTTGACTTACGCAGAAAGTTTATCTGATGGTTTATGATTTATAAATAAAAGTAAACTCCAAGAAATTTATTACATTTACTAACTTTATTACTACATCTTGTGTTTTATGCAATGAATTTATCAAATGAACTAGACATAGGCGAAACATTGACAAAATAACTAAAGGGTTTATTTTTAATAGAACAGATTGACATTGAGAATGAACTGTTTCACAGGTTTCAATATATATATTTTGCTATCAATTCGTAAACTATATTAATTGCGTCGCAAACTTGCACCAAGTATTAAATAAATAAAACTAATTTATAAAATATCTGTTGAACATGTATTTATTTCTTTAATATGTTGATTTATGATAATACCAAGCAAACAAAACGTAAGAAACAAATGGGTACACATATAGAAATTTCTACAAAAAATGCAACAGTTACACAATAAAGATTTTGTTTTTAGATCCATTTTGCCTTTTTTTCTTTTGTCTTATTTTGTAATATCAATAATAGCATATTAATGTAAGTTTAAACGATTTAACAATTTTAAATGCCGACTTCTAAACAAATCTATTTACTGAATTTCGATTTATCAATAAATTGGCTTGTTATGGAGTTTCCAAAAGTTTTTTGTTGTTTTGGAAGCGTTCTGTGTAGCTTCAGTATTCGATATGACTGATTTATCAAAAGCAACTGTTATAAAAATACGAAGCCTGCATTTAAAGTATGTATAACTACTTGTAAATTTATACTTTTTAGAAATAAATAATTCAAGAGAAAATATTTATTCCACCCTCTGAAAATCTAAATTAAGAATTAATCTAATAAACATCAGTTTTATCAAGAGTTATACCTTTAAGAGGTCAAAATGCAAACTTTGACTTTAACTTATACCTTTTTTAACTTTTGAAATATGACGAAATAGGGAATCCATTTATCACGTTTCAATTCGAAACATTTAAATTTTTTTTCAAATTTTGTGTTTTTTTTTTTTGTTTTTTTTAATTTATCAATTTATGAGGTTAGATGTTAGTAGTTCGAACAATAAACAAATTCTAATATAGTTAAAGGCTACTGATGATGAAAAGGTCATCTTCATAGAGTTTTAAGTGTTACGATGCCAATTGATTTATATCTTATAAAAAAGATCTATGTTGACTTTCACATTTATTATCATATCGTATAAGGTTTAAAATTTGCAATAGAAAGACAGATGGGAAAAATTAAATTCAAATGTTAACCTTTATCAAATTATTTTATTATCAATCTTTCGCTGTAATTACAAACTCCATCGTGGAAAGAAAGTAATACCATTTTGTCATTTTCCATTGTAATACATTTTTGATACTTATTTATAGAGGAATAGCTGTTTTGCAATTTATTTTCAAATAAGGTTTAATTAAGTGACAAAGTTTGAAATATAACAATCATTATGTTAGATTAACGATTTTGAATCTTGTGAAAGTTTAACAACACAGTAAGGTACTCTTTAACCTTAATCACCTCGTCCATCATAATATCTTCTTCAAAAATAATTTCTTTCATACCCATTCATTTTTCTTAATTTTCATTCAATAGAATCGTGGAGATAATTATGACAGATTACTGTATACATACGAAATTATTACAAAGGCTTCGTGATTTATGAACGTTACTCTAAACTACAATGTCTTATGTGACCACAAAGTTCTCATTAAGTTACCACATTGTATAATGTAGTTCACGAATGAAATATTTAAATAAAGAACTTACCCATTTTATTGATCAAATAAACAATTATTTTACAGGTGTGCCAATTAATAAAAACATTTGGTAGGTAAACAATGTACATGTACACTCATCATTCAGTTAAAGATGTAAAATCAAGTAAAATTGTCAATATTAAACACAAGAAGTATTAAGTTTGTTTGATGAGAAGGCGACGATAACGAGCAGTGATCGATCTAAAAAAGGGACCTAAAAATTCAAATCTGTGAACAAGGGACCAAACACGGACCCTGAAAATTCTAGAGGTGGGACCAGGTACCTAGGAGGAGTGAACATCTTCTATTGACCAGTCACATCCCGTTTTAGTATTTCGTTGAGTATTACACAATGCTGATGAAAGCAATATTATATCACTAATAGGACCTGATCCTACCTTTGATGTTTTGGAGGTCCAAATTTGCTCTTCTCCTATTTTGTATTGTTTTATGAACTTTTGATCTTGAATACTGTTCGTTATCTGCATGTGTTTCATGATTTAGACTCTATTCATTTTTATTTGTTGCAGCTTTTAAGTACAATGAAAATTGAGCAAAACCAAAAAAAATGTTCGCCATTCTTTTGGTATACTTACTGAGAACCTGTTTTAGACTTTTTTGACGCTCTGGTTTCTCTTTGCAATAATAAGATGTAGGTTTCTCTTTTATTCACATTTTATAATATCCGTTTAAGTGGATTGACACCCATTAACTAAGTTTATATCTTCTTTTTTGTTTTATTTGTGATGATTGTTTGAAAAAATAAAACATTCGTTGATCATAAGTACTGAAATAGTATTTCCTAACTGAAATACATATATATATAATAGAATGCTTCTACATTTGTAATGATAAACCGTAGGTTGTATAACTTATTGAACGACCCTCGCATATATTACCTAAACCGTAAATTGCAGTGTTAAAACATTTATGACATTGAGTTTAAGATATTCAATGTTTGTTATTTCAAAAAATGTTTTCTATATTGTTTTACTTTTAAAATTCAAATCTTTTAAGATATAAAAATCAGATGACAGTTTTCTTAATAAGTCTAGCAATTGCTATATTTCATGGGTTGTTCTAAAAAGTTTTGAAACTATACTCAATAAGAGTATTATAGCTTGGTATTAATAACACGTTTTTATGAGAAAAAACTATGAAGATGAATTTGCCCACAAAACAATATGCAGTTGGCAGCACTTTTACAATGAAAGATCAATGGTTAAGCAGTGTATATGCAAATCGTTTAACATAATATAACACTCAAGTACAGATATAAAATATAGATATAAATTACTTATTGAATGATCAATCCTATGAAGTTAACCAATGCAGATTCATATCATTCTAAATGTATATGAAAGGTGACGTTTTCATCTTCTGATAATGTTCAGTTTGTAATATCGTCAATCAGAGTTGTGCACATGGTTAATTATCTGATCGAATGAACAACATATGATTGACTTTGTCAGAAATATACAAAGTACAAGTACGTATAAACAAAAAATAAAAAAAGAGATACAATGAACCTTTTTATCCATGAAAACCACGCAAACCACATGTCTTTCAGTATCTTTTGTATATATAGATAATGCATGTATTAACTTGATTCTTTTTCTTATGCAAGGATGTCAAAATGGGACGAATGAAAAAAGCACAACATGTATATATTGCTGCAAACAGTACAAGAATTCTTCTAAATCGTTACCATACTGTTGTTCAAAAGTATAATACTTAAAAATTATGTATCATGCTGCAAAATATACTTGACATGTCCAAAATAACAATAGCAATTGATACAAAATTCACAATAGATAGAATTTATTATCAATTTTTATTTTCTTGCATTAGAATAATATATAGGCTACGAATAAAGACGAATGAAGGCTATGGAGATAACAATTAAATGATGACTTTAAACGAGACTGCTAGAGGTAACAAATAAACGATGACTTTAAACGAGACTGCTGATATTCTTGTTTCATCAACATATTGTCATATGAATACAAAAATAGGTCTGCTAATAACAGAGCGCAATTGGTACCCATGGGAATTCCAATAGATTGTTGGAAGACCTGGTCTCCAAAAACCACATAGATGTTGTCAATCAGAAACTCAAGCATCTTTTTGATGTCAGCTTTAACAGAGTGTTTGTGTGTGCAATCAGAATGTGTTTTAACAAAACATTTTCATCGCAATATTGCAATTCTATACTGAGTAATTGATTTGTCTGTTTTTCTACTAAGAAGTTTAAAACAAAAAGATGCCTCTTTAAGCACATGTGCTAAACAATACGAAACATTTAAAATATATGGGCATATTTTGAGGCAAAAGTAGAAATTTTACGAGAAAAAAATGTTTACTTCTGGAAGGTAATTTTGATATTCAAAACATTTAAATTAGCTTAATGAAATACTAGATTTTCAGCCGTTGTTAGATTTTCACATTTCCATCTTCTGATGAAAATTTTCCCAAACATGCCACAATTTTTTTTTTCTATAATGTGTTCAAATAAAGAGCCAATCAGTACTTATCGTGAAAAATCAATAGTATCATTTAAAAATCTTATCAAAAACCACTGTGCTAGAAAATATGAAACTTACGTGTAGTCATCCTGAGGTAGCGTATAGATTCAAGTTCAAATCGTGACCCCCAAGGGGTATAATGGGGTTACAATGAGCGATCAAGGCTTTCCATATGAATTTGTAGGCATAATCTTTAAAAATCTTCTGAAGATAGCAAGGCCATGATTTGTCATATTTATATGGACACTTCCACAACTAGTGTAGATTCAAGTAAACCCCACCACCACCGCAAGGGGGAATGTGAAATTGCAATGGGCGATCAGAGCTTTAGATAGGAAATATTTGTTTTTTAAATCTTTTTCTCACGAACAGCAAAGTCATGATTAATAATAATATTGATGTGGTAGTATCCTTAGAAAGTGTAGAATACATTTTGTTTATAAATTATATGATCCCCGGATTTGAGCGGGATAACAATTTTATATTTCAAATTTTCGGTACTGAACTGATTTATCCTTTTTCCTAAGTAAATTGTTTAGATGAGAGATGTGTTCCATGTGCCTCTTGTTCTTTTGTTTGCATTGATAGGCTTTTGGCGG